TGCCGATGACAGAACAGTGGTAGGCCTGATAACCGACAACGATGAGACAGCCTATAGGGAGGAGGTCAGAGACCTGGCCGTGTGGTGCCAGGATAACAACCTCTCCCTCAACGTGATCAAGACAAAGGTGCCCCCGCACATTGACTCTGTACCGGTAACCCCTGTATATAGCCTCCCTACTATTATTTTATTTTACTGCTGCTCTTTAATTATTTGCTATTTTTATTTGTTACTTAACACTTAATTTTTTATTTTCTTAAAACTGCATTGTTGGTTAAGGGCTTGAAAGTAAGCATTTCACTGTAAGGTCTACACCTGTTGTATTCGGCGCATGTGGCAAATAAAATGTTATTTTATTTGATTTCAGTAACAACAATAGCTAATGCCAGCTAGCTAAACGTTCTGAGGGAAACGTCAGCAAGCAATCTCGTAATAAGTTACAGTAGCTAACTATATTTATAAACATACTTATTTTCTCCTTCAAACAACAGAAATGACTCAAATGCAGGTGGCGCGTTCATATTTGATAACTAGCTATCTACAGACAAGAGTGCAGAAACTAAGTAACAGCGAACACACACCGCACAGTACTTGAATGAGGGACTAAACAGCTGGTGGGACCTTCTTCTTCTTCTGTGGATTTTATATGGCAGTTGGCAACCAACTTTAAGGTGCATTACCGCCACCAACTGGACTGAAGTGTGGACCAGAGACAGTGAAAGTCTAAATCCTACCCAATAATCTCGTCTCCCTAAGGAAATGAAATACATAATTAAATACTACATCCCCTGAAGATTTCCCCAGCAGTTCACTTAATCCTGGCTCTTCATCCCCATTACTCATCAAATCTAATAACAATCACTCCCTTTCTCTCACATATTTCTGGCACTGAAATAGAACATGTTCCACTGTCTCCATCGCCTCCTGACAATGATCACACCACCCAGTCGGATGTTTCCCCACCAATTTCAATGTACTATTTAGTCTTATGTGTCGTAGTCTCAGCCTTGTGACTACACTTTCCTCTCTTCTCTCTCGGCCTGGGGACCTCCCTGCCCCCCACCTTTTCCTGGATCTTATACAGGTGTCTTCCCTTCCTCTCCCTATTCCACAACTCTTGCCACTTATTTTTAACCATTGTTCTTATTAATCTCTTGGCTTCTGCTTTACTGATTGATAATTATACAGTACCAGTCAAAAGTTTAGACACACCTACTCATTCAAGGGTTTCTCTTAATTTTTTACTATTTTCTACATTGTAGAATAATAATGAAGATATCAAAACTATGAAATAACACATATGGAATTATGTAGTAACCAAAAAAAGTGTTAAACAAAACAAAATATATTTGAGATTCTTCAAATAGCCACCCTTTGCCTTGATGACAGCTTTGTACATTCTTGGCATTCTCTCAACTAGTTTCATGAGGTAGTCACCTGGAATGCATTTCAATTAACAGGTGTGCCTTCCTAAAAGTTATTTTGTGGAATTTCTTTCCTTCTTAATGCGTTTGAGCCAATCAGTTGTGTTGTGACAAGGTAGGGGGGGTATACAGAAGATAGCCCTATTTAGTAAAAGACCAAGTCCATATTACTGCAAGAGAAGCTCAAATAAGCAAAGAGAAACGACAGTCCATCATTACTTTAAGACATGAAGGTCAGTCAATATGGAACATTTCAAGAACTTTGAACATTTCTTCAAGCGCAGTTGCAAAAACCATCAAGCGCAATGATGAAACTGGCTCTCATGAGGACTTCCACAGGAATGGAAGATCCAGAGTTACCTCTGCTGCAGAGGATAAGTTCATTAGAGTTACCAGCCTCAGAAATTGCAGCCCAAATAAATGCTTCACAGAGTTCAAGTAACATACACATCAACTGTTCAGAGGGGATCATGATCATGAAGCAGGCCTTCATGATCGAATTGCTGCAAAGAAACCACTACTAAAGGACACCAATAAGAAGAAGATACCTACTTGGGCCAAGAAACACAAGCAATGGACATTAGACCGGTGGAAATGTGTCCTTTGGTCTGGATACCAAATTGGAGATTTTTGGTTCCAACCGCCGTGTCTTTGTGAGACACGGTGTGGGTGAACGGATAATCTCTGCATGTGTATTTCCCACCGTAAAGCATGAAGGAGAAGGTGTTATGGTGTGGGGGTGCTTTGCTGGTGACACTGTCTGTGATTTATTTAGATTTCAAGGCACACTTAACCAGCATGGCTACCACAGCATTCTGCAGCGATACGCCATCCCACCTGGTTTGGGCTTAGTGGGACTATCATTTGTTTTTCAACAGGCCAATGACCCAACACACCTCCAGGCTGTGTAAGGGTTATTTTACCAAGAAGGAGAGCTGCATCAGATGGCCTGGCCTCTCCAATCCCCCGACCTCAACTCAATTGAGATGGTTTGGGATGAATTGGACCGCAGACTGAAGGAAAAGCAGCCAACAAGCGCTCAGCATATGTGGAACTCCTTCAAGACTGTTGGAAAAGCATTCCAGGTGAAGCTGGTTAAGAGAATGCCAAGAGTGTGCAAAGCTGTCATCAAGGCAAAGGGTGGCTATTTGAAGAATCTCAAATATAAAATATATTTTGATTTGTTTAACACTTTTTTGTTTACTACATGATTCCATGTGTTATTTCATAGTTTTGATGTCTTCACTATTATTCTACAATGTAAAAAATAGTAAAAAATAAAGAAAAACCCTTGAATGAGTAGGTGTGTCCAAACTTTTGACTGGTAGTGTGTCAACATTAGGACATTTAAGAGCCTGCTTGGCAATAATATCCACTTCCTCATTCCCCTCTACTCCTACATGAGCTGGTACCCAGAGGAACATCACAAATACCCCCATCTGTTTCACCCTATACAAACACTGCAAAACCTCATACAATACATCCTGTCTGCTCTGAGACACACATTCACTTAAGCTCGTCAGTGCTGCACAGGAGTCAGAACAGATGACTACCCTGTCTGGCCTCGTCCACCCACTCTGCAACCAATAGTATGGCCAACAACTCCATTGTGTAAACAGATAAATGATCCGTTGCTCTTTTCGTCACTGCCACCTTAAACTCAGGAACACTAAAAGCTGCTCCTGTCCTCCCTGTTTTAGGGTCCTTCGATCCATCTGTGAATATATTCAAGAAAGCGTAGTATTGTGTTCTTAAATTTTCACTTACAACTGACTCTACTCCTTCCTCAACATCTCTTACCCTCTCAAGCAACCCTAGATCTATCACTGGTTGAGGGAGAAACCAAGGTTGGATAGCAGGAAGAACCACAGAGGGTCTAAACTCCCTCCCAAACAACCCCATCTCTCTCGCCATGCAATTGCCTATTCACCCAAACCTTGTATTCAGATTTTGTTCATGTTCCCAGCACTCTTGGAGCAACTTTTTTTGTAGGATGTGTATCCTTATGTCCTTGTAGATTTACCTAATATGTCATGGCTAGCTGTTGTCTTCTTAACTTCAACGGCATCTCTCCCAACTCTACCTGCATCGAGCTGGTGGGACCAACTTCCGGTAGTGTTTATTATGAATGGATTTCAAAATAAAGGTCTTTATATAAGATCTGTGTGTCTTGAGTGAAATCGTAGAAATGAAAGAACCATTATCAAATGTGTTTATATCGGTTTATATACACAGAATATAGTGCTCACTCGGGGTTAAGATTGGTAAATTAGGAACTGCACTGAAATGTGATGATCAAACGAGTCCAATTGGATTGGCAAGGAGTGGTTTATTTGATATGCATGTCCCGTGGGCTATCTACTAGGAAGAAACCTAGAGAGGAACCAGGCTATGAGGGGTGGCCAGTCCTCTTCTGGCTGTGCCGGGTGGAGATTATAACAGAACCATGCCAAGATGTTCAAAAATGTTCATAAGTGACAAGCATGGTCAAATAATAATCAGGAATAAATCTCAGTTGGCTTTTCATAGCCGATCATTAGAGTTTAAAACAGCAGGTCTGGGACAGGTAGGGGTTCCATAACCGCAGGCAGAACAGTTTAAACTGGAATAGCAGCAAGGCCAGGCGGACTGGGGATAGCAAGGAGTCACCACGGCCGGTAGTCCCGACGTATGGTCCTAGGGCTCAGGTCTCTCAGTTGGCTTTTCATAGCCGATCATTTAGAGTTGAAAACAGCAGGTCTGGGACAGGTAGGGGTTTCGTAGCCGCAGGCAGAACAGTTGAAACTGGAATAGCAGCAAGGCCAGGCGGACTGGGGGCAGCAGGGTGTCATCATGCCCGGTAGTCCTGACGTATGGTCCTACCTAGTGTCACTGTCACAACCTCCAACGGCCACCAACCTACGATACAACCATTACTCAGTAGGCCTATGCACAGTGCACACCATTATTTAGTTGTTATTCATATAGCCTAGGTGTTTGTACCAGCTACAAGTCGGGTTCCGTGAGCCTTTCTTGGTAGTTGTGACGTATTATGCGCGCGGCCAAACTGTGACATTGTATGATGTAACTTGCAAGCATCAGTTTACTAGATTAACTGCTTTGATAAAAAATCAGTACATATGCTTTCTTTACTCAGGTTGTTTCAGGTAAGCTTATGGTGCATAGCCTGCCCTACCTGACGCTGTGCAGAGACTATTGGAAAAAGTTGGATGTTGGATAGATGTTTGCACACTGCGCAAGGTGAGTTGGAGTTTTAGAATGTAGCCTGGTAGGCTTTTACATTCTTTGTGTGTGTGTGTGTGTGTGTTTGTGTGTGTGAGGACAGGCTCATAGTAATGGCTGGAACAGAATACATGGAATGGTATTAAACACTTCAAACATATGGTTTCCATGTGTTTGATACCACTCCATTCACACCATCCAGACATTATTATGAGCCCTCCTCCCTTCACCAGCCCCTGTGGTCTCACGGTGTGTGTGTGTGTGTGTGTGTGTGTGTGTGTGTGTGTATTTGTCAAGATCTGTTTTCTGTTTTGTGCCAATCAATTGATGGAAATGTATCCCTCAGAAAGCAAAATGGATCATAATGATGAGAGTATCAAAAGAGCTCCAAGGCGCCTTCCTTATCTGGTAAATATTAAGTATTCTTTGGTTTACTCTGTTTTTGTTATCTTATCACCTTTTAAATTGAGTGTTGTGTTGACAGTTGACTCCAGTGAGGGTGAACACCCCTGATTTTGTGATGTGGCCAACTGGCAAGGTGCACAGAAGACCAAGGCCTGTAAATCAAATCCGACATGAAAGCAGTTGCACATAAATATTAGTTATGCTCCATGTACAAACGGCAGTTATCACAATAAAAGCACGTGCAGATATCCCTCCCCATCTAACCACATTTGAAATGTAATGCTTTCTTGACAGTCTCCTTCAGTGCAGACCCCTAAGATCCACAGAAGGCCTGTAAATCACATTCAAATTCAACCACATAATAGTACTTAAATGATTTATTTATACATCATTTGAACTACAGTTATTTACATAGCCAAATATGAGCAAAGTTGTTTCGTTTTTTCTTTACTGTTCACAGCCAATCATTGTGAGCTGTGGGCAGGACCAAACGTCTGGGGATGGATGGAAGTCATGGAACATCAATCCAGAGCCTCTCAGCCAGGTCAGATATCTCTGCTGTTGCCATAGAAACACAACAGATAGATACATCTGTGGATTCATATGGCCATTTTGGTTAACTTGTTTGAATTGATTGAATTGACATATCATCCATTCAAGATGCTAAAGAATCCTATAGTATGGAAGGTCTCTAGCCCCACCCCTAACGTTATGGGAGCTTCACCCATGAATTACTCACTACTTGTTCAACCATGTTGGATTACCCAAATATTTTACATTTCCTCTTTGGGAGTCAATGCCTGTGTAATCTATGGCTGCCCTAAGTACATGCAAGTGCTTTTGTCTGTTTCCTCAGTCTGGAAGGGTGACCTGACTGATAGAGAGAGATTATGATGAGGGGATCTCATCCTCCAACTCTGATGACATCTCTATCTACTCCTTCACTGACTGTGAATCTGAGGTAAGACAGTTGTACTCCATGTCTTTGTTGAGTGATATCACTGTAAGGAGAATAGTCTCTGACTAGTTGACTCTGATACACAGTCTGATGATGAGGATCATGAAAGGAGGACACCACCGCTGAAAGTGAAGGATGAGGAGGATGGAAAGGTGACAAGGCTTGAAGTGAGGGATATGGTAGAGGACGACGATCTGTCTCTCCACTCCTTCGATGAGTCAGACTTTCTGGTATGTTCTGCACCATGTATTTGAGTAACTCTGACTGAATGTGGAGAATGGACCATGACCAACTAGCTCTCTGACACACAGCGTGATGATGGCAATGATGCCTCTGCTGAGGACAGTCCTGAGCCTCCAAAGGAACCACAGAGAAAAGTGGCTTCACTGAAGGACCCTCAACTGGTAGGCGGCTCTTCGTGTGTATGTGTATCTGTGTGTGTGTTTGTTTGTGTGTCCATCTCAATGGTTTGACCCTATGTCTGTACAGATTATTGTGGCCAAACCCAACATCCCTCTCCCTGCCTCTGTGAGTGCCCTGAAGAAGGTGTCACGCCAGATGGAGGTGGTCCCTACTGTCCGGCCCTGCAGGCAGCAGCTGGACAAGAAGACACAGTGGACCAACACCAACGAGGAGAGCCTGAGGAGGATTTTTAAAAACCTGGCCTCCATGGAGCTTGACCTGGAGGAAGGCCTGCAGACGGTCAATGACGGTCTGGACATCAACCAAGTGAGGCAGAAGAATGAGGGATGCTTCAGAGCCTGGATTGAGAAGTGGATGGGGAGGAGGAAGGAGAAGAACCCGAAGGATGAAGAGATGGATAGGGAGGACAAAGGGAAGATGGGTGAGGAGTTGAGGGCACTGATCCAAGTGATGCGGAGAAACTGCAGCGAAAGTGATCTTGAGGCAGTAGACCTGGACAGATGGTTGAATGATCTCGAAAGGTTGAAAGTGGCCTTCAAGAAATGCACTGGCAAGATCTGCGAAATGGTAGAGTTCATGGTAGAAATGCAGACCAGAATAGCTGAGAACAGGCCTGAAAAAAAGAACTATGTCCGGAGCTTTGTAAGTTACTCTTACTTATTGAGTGTAGTCATGTATCTAATGTATTTATAGATTAGTTATACAGTATATCTAGAGATTGTGTATAACATAGCACTGTCCTGACAGTTTGTTTGTTGTTTCTGGTATTACAGAGCCCAGGGAAAGTCTCTGGTCCTGTGTCTGGCCAGACTGGCCTTTCTCCTCTTGTGACCTCATCACCCTGGACCCTGGCTGAAGCCCTACAGGCCCTGCCCTCTGCTGTGGCCCCTCTCTCCCCAGAGGATGTCCCAAGGCCACGGACTCCTCCCAGCCCTGTCCCTGTCATTGTTTCTCCATCTGCTGTGTGTCACACCCTGGCTCTGGGACTCTATATGTTGAGCCAGGGTGTGTGCATTCTATGTGTTCATTTTCTATGTTGGGTGTTCTAGGTTGTCTATGTCTATGTTTGCATGTGTGACTCCCAATCAGAGGCAACGAGTGTCAGCTGTCGGCTGGTTGTCTCTGATTAGGAGCCATATTTAAACTGTGTGTTTTCTCTTGGGTGTTGTGGGTTTTTGTTCCGTGTCGGTATGTTTAACCGTGGACTTCACGAATCGTGTTTTGTTTGTATTTAGAAACTTTAATTAAATAAAGTCATGTTTATTTCACACGCTGCGCCTTGGTCTACTACTCCTTACCCAGACGATCGTGACAGAAAAACCCACCATACAAGGACCAAGCAGCGTGTCCAGGAGCAGGCAGCCTGGTCATGGGAGGAAGCGCCAGGAAAGGAGATGGAGAGGCTGGCGATGGCCCAGGTGGGCAAAGTGTGGTCCTGGGAGGACATGCTCGGGGGCAAGGGACCTTGGGGTAGGATCAAGGCCCTGGCGAGAGAGGAGCAGCGGCGTCAGCAGTGCCATCGTCGGACGGACGAGAGGCACCCCCAAGAATTTTTTAGGGGGGGGCACACGGCATGGGCGACTGGGCAGCAGGAGGCTGCCACGGGGCGAAATAGGAGAAGAGGAGAGAAGGCCACCGGGTTACGGGAGCCATTGGCGAGAGGAGGGAAGGAAGTCGTAGAGGCACGGCGAGAGGGACTGAGGTGTATTGCCAGTCCGGTCCGGCCCGTTCCTGATCCCCGTTTAAAGCCAGTGGTGTGTGTTCCCAGTACGGTCCGGCCTGTCCCTGCTCCACGCACCAAACCTACGGTGTGCGTCGCCAGCCCAGTCCGGCTTGTCCCTGCTCCACGCATCAAACCTACGGTGTGCGTCGCCAGCCCTGCCCGGCCTGTCCCTGCTCCACGCACCAAGCCTACGGTGTGCGTCGACAGTCCTGTCCGGCCTGTCCCTGCTCCACGCACCAAGCCTACGGTGTGCGTCGACAGCCCAGCCCGGCCTGTCCCTGCTCCATGCACCAAACCTACGGTGTGCGTCGCCAGCCCAGCCCGGCCTGTCCCTGCTCCACGCACCAAGCCTACGGTGTGCGTCGACAGCCCTGCCCGGCCTGTTCCTGCTCCACGCACCAAACCTACGGTGTGCGTCGCCAGCCCAGCCCGGCCTGTCCCTGCTCCACGCACCAAGCCTACGGTGTGCGTCGACAGTCCTGTCCGGCCTGTCCCTGCTCCACGCACCAAACCTACGGTGTGCGTCGCCAGCCCAGCCCGGCCTGTCCCTGCTCCACGCATCAAACCTACGGTGTGCGTCGCCAGCCCTGCCCGGCCTGTCCCTGCTCCACGCACCAAACCTACGGTGTGCGTCGCCAGCCCAGCCCGGCCTGTCCCTGCTCCACGCACCAAACCTACGGTGTGCGTCGACAGCCCAGCCCGGCCTGTCCCTGCTCCACGCACCAAGCCTACGGTGTGCGTCGCCAGCCCAGCCCGGCCTGTCCCTGCTCCACGCACTAAGCCTACGGGGTGCGTCGCCAGCCCAGCCCGGCCTGTCCCTGCTCCACGCACCAAACCTACGGTGTGCGTCGCCAGCCCAGCCCGGCCTGTCCCTGCTCCACGCACTAAGCCTACGGGGTGCGTCGCCAGCCCAGCCCGGCCTGTCCCTGCTCCACGCACCAAGCCAGGGGTGCGAGTCGTCAGCCTGGTCCAGCCCGTTCCTGCCACTCGCACCAAGCCAGGGGTGCGAGTCGTCAGCCTGGTTCAGCCCATTCCTGCTACTCGCACCAAGCCCGGGGTGCGAGTCGTCAGCCTGGTAAGACCGGTCAGCTGCTCCACAACGGAGCGTAAGCAATCCGCTCCGTCAATGTCCAGTCCAGATCCTGCCAGCGGGGTCAGACCGGACCAGGGGCGCTACGGGGGTATTATGGAGGGGTGGTGGTCATGGCCGGAGCCGGAGCCGCCTCCGAGGAGGAATGCCCACCCAGCCCTCCCCTGTTTGGGGTTTTGTTGAGACGCGGTCGCAGTCTGCGCCTTTAGGGGGGGGGTACTGTCACACCCTGGCTCTGGGACTCTATATGTTGAGCCAGGGTGTGTGCATTCTATGTGTTCATTTTCTATGTTGGGTGTTCTAGGTTGTCTATGTCTATGTTTGCATGTGTGACTCCCAATCAGAGGCAACGAGTGTCAGCTGTCGGCTGGTTGTCTCTGATTGGGAGCCATATTTAAACTGTGTGTTTTCTCTTGGGTGTTGTGGGTTTTTGTTCCGTGTCGGTATGTTTAACCGTGGACTTCACGAATCGTGTTTTGTTTGTATTTAGAAACTTTAATTAAATAAAGTCATGTTTATTTCACACGCTGCGCCTTGGTCTACTACTCCTTACCCAGACGATCGTGACACTGTGGAGTACTTTCCACACCCTCGCCTGGCCCTCATCATCAACCTGCGCGAGAACAGCAGGAAGCTGCTCCAGGACATGGCACAGAAAATGCCACGAGTGGCCCAACAGGTAGGTTATGGGAAAGGAAGAAGGGTTGTCATTCTCTCCTACTATAGGCGTAAGATACCTGTCAGTGTAAGTTTAGTAAGCTTCTCTTGTACTCTCAGGATGTTGAGGCGAAGAGGATCGGCAAAGGGAAAAAGAAGGCAAAGAAAGGTAGGAGAAAACCAGTGATAGACAACAGGAGGAAAATGTTGAGGAAAGTGAGAAAAGGATGTGAAAAGGGACAAAAAGAGTCTGAGGAAGAGGTGAGGACAAATAAAAAGGGCCTGCTAGCAAGATATTTATGCGGTGTAGAACATAAGTGGAGTGCAATGAGGGCCAGAAAAATAGGAACATCAGTCTGATAGAGCAACACTAATGTTAATAGCAGAGTTTGTAAATATGATGGATACACTGTATTTACTGTCAATGCTCCCACTGAAGTGTCTTATTGACAGGTTCCTCCAGTGGCTGCTGTCTAAAGTGAGATGTAGTAAGATGTAATGGACACGAGCTAAAGCGCGCACACACACACACACACACATACAGCTGATATGCACATGTATCTATTTTTATTATTACTCTTTATGTTTTCCCCAATACTGTATTGCTTCAATTTATATGTGGGGGGGTTGATCCTATAGTGGAAGTTCCTCTTCATTGGGTTTGTCACAGCAGTAGCTTATACATCGCAAACCCCTTGTCCCCATGCCGTTTGCTTTCCCTGACATGGTTTTTCACTGGTCTCCAGCTTTTTGATGGAGATGATGTGGCGCTCGTCCCTCTTAGGGCTGGAACGTTAGTGAACATCAGATGTCCCATTTGGGGCAATTGCCCCTTGAGCCCAAGTTGGAGATAGAGAGGGAAAATGACCCTCAGCCTATGTCCACCAGGTTATACTGTGGATTTTAAAATGGTCTTCCGGCAGGTCATATCGTCCTCCGCACTTAAGTGGATCCACTGCATGATCCAGTAGTGCAGGAGTGCACTACTTGAGGGTACTGTCTATTTGAACACACTGCCTCAACTGGTAGGCGAGTACTGGTCATGTGCAAGTTGCCAGTTGTTAGCATCTGCAGGTGGAGTTGTCCAATGTGTTGGTTTTCTGGCAGTTCATCGTGTCCTCTGCACTTAAACGGATCCACCACATACTTGTTAAGGATGATGGTCAGGGATATGATCATAGGCCAGTACCGAGTGTAGTACTCCAGTTGGCTTTTGGCCCTCCCTGATGAGGGCTGCCCAGAAGCCTCAGTGGGACCCTTCCTTGTAAACCTCACTAATGGAGGACGAGTCGTCCTGGGTAGTGCAGGTACTACTGAGCATGTGCAGGAAAATCTCTGCAGCCTCAGCATGTGACTGATGACCTTTGACCCAGACTTCCTTGGCTGCTACGGGAGCACTGAGTGACCGGCCAAGAGAGTAGACTTTTGATGACGCCCACAGCTGAGATGCGATAAGCTCTAGTACAGTAATGGAGGAGTGCACCTTGAGGGTAACCGGCTCTTTGAACGCACTGCCTCGTCTGGTAGGCTTTTTGTGCATATGGAGCATGTGCATGGTGCCCATTTCTAGTTATTCACCAATGTGTTGGTGTGCCGCTCCTTGTTCAATGGAATGTACGTTATTGTGATGGAGGCCTAGTTAAAGTGCTGGATGAGAACATTAAGTTTGGAGGGCAGCTGTACCTCCTCGTCTGTACACTATGAACCTCATTGGTCAGCAAAAGGGGAGAGCTCTTTCTTTAGCCGGGCTGAGACCAGGACATCCTCTCCCTGAGGGTAGATGTGGACTAGAGCCAGCGCACACTGCTGGTTTGACTGTCAGAGCCTGTTGCCAACCTGTTTTGCTCTTGAATGCTTTATCCTGAACACAGTCCTCTAGAGTTCCTACATACATGTTAACACAGATGTCTATGAGCCTATGGGAGTCACTCTTGCCTTTTTTGAGGCAGAATAGAATAATATATTGAATATTGCACTGCAGTACTTGGAATCCTACAAAGTAGGTTAGGTGACCCAACAGCTGCCAACACAGACATAGTGCTGTTGTAGTCCTCCTGTGTTAGTGATTTTGTAATGTGTTAAAGATGTGGAACACACATCTTCTTCCTTTTTTATAAGGCATATAACTACAGTACATCCAAACCAACAATTATGACTGACAACACATCTTTGTTGAATAACTGAACTCACTCAGTATATATAAACATTTATTTCTCATTATAAACTGGGTGGTTCGAGCCCTGAATGCTGATTGGCTGACAGCCGTGGTATATCAGACCGTGTACCACGGGTGTGACAAAACATTAATTTGTACTGCTCTAATTACGTTGGTAACCAGTTTATAATCGCAATAAGGCACCTCTGGGGTTTGTGGTATATGGCCAATATACCACAGCTAAGGGCTGTATCCGGTCACTCCGCATTGTCGTGCATAAGAACAGCCCTTAGCCATGGTATATTGGCCATATACCACACCCCCTCAGACCTTATTGCTTAAATAAAGCATGATGAATGTGCTTATGTTTTTGTCATTTTTCTTTCTACTTTCGATAGCATTGTAATGTTTGTGTTTTGTATTAATTAAAAACGTAAATATCATAAGAGCATTATTTCATGGGTTCCAAAATGACTTTTATTTTGACATTTGAAGATCATTCCAAACCGGAAGTTACCCAATTTACTCTAAAGGCGGAAAAAAAAAGCTGAAACATAGGAAGAAAACAGACCAATAGTAGCTACTTTCCTATTCAGCTGAATGTCTGAAGAAATAAGGCAGTGTACGCCTTTGTATTTGCCTGTCCCCAAAGATAACAGACCGGTCAGAAATTGAACAACCAGGCAGGAGGTTGCGTTATGTAAACGCCTGTCTTTTCTGACGAAATGAGAGGGCGGATGAGGACTCTTTAAATTAGCTAGCTAGCAAGCTGACCATCATTTTCTTCTTCTAGCAAGGTTTGTGTGGTTATTACTCTCTTTATCAGAGAACTATAGAGACAGTAATCACGGCAGTTGTCTGTAAATACGTGCCCAGAATTGTCATTCATTGACCGCCTCCAAGCCCCGGGGCTCTCCCCCGGCCGGCGACAGAAGCATGGCAGGAAATCCGAGGAGGGGCGCTGGTCTCATCGGCTTGATGAAGGACGCATTTCAGCCCCATCACCAGCCTCTCCAGCCTCACCAACCTGCAGTGGTAGACAAGAAAATGGTGGAGAAATGCTGGAAACTTATGGATAAGGTAGGTAACAATCCATCTAATTTCCTCAGCTCTTATGGTAAGTGCATTTAAATGGCAAGAATACTCAACATATGAAATGCAAGGTTTACTATAATGTCCATAGTGTAGCAATAATAAAACAATAGGTTACATAGAATAAGGAGAGATGGTGTGACAGTCTTTTTCCCATGTGAGGTGAACAATTACCACAAGACTGATCATGCCATGTCAATACTATTTATTCTGCAAAATGAAGCAAATGTATTCATGCATTCGTTATTTTTCTTTATAAAATGGCCTCCAATACATTGTTTCCCCGAAATGGCCAGAATTTGAGCAATGTACAGTATTTTCAATTAAACAGTGTACAAGTTGTCTTTGGCAGGAAGACACTTGCATATTCAATTTCACAAGTCTATTTTCAAACGTGTGATTGAACTATCACGTGGTTATTTCATTATTCCTTTTTTGCTTACTGACTCAGTTTGAATGAACACAAGTGTAGCTGATCCCTGTGTCAAATGGCCTATTCAACCAGAACAACAATACCAAATAGGCGTAAATAGTATTATTTTGTCATGTTTTATACATTTGACACACAACCTCAAATGATAGGCCTACAAAATGGTATGTTCCCTTTCCTACTGCTGGTGTGGTAAAAATATCAACACATACATTTTGTGAATTATATTTTCTTAAAAACAAAGATGATAAGGACTACTTGGTGTACTGTCAAATAGGACAATTGAGACAATATCAAGGGACTGGCCAGGCCTGGTTGTATGAACCAGTTGAATTACAAACATCATCCAGACTGTAAATAATTGGTTTAACCACAAGCAGGAGCCACAATGTAAATATTGAATTCTCCACTTGCCTGTAAATATCAAGGTCACTCGTACCCCAAATTTACTCTCACACTGGTGTGTATCATGATGAGTCCTGACTGGTAATTCTGTCTCTCTACATTAAAATATATCCGTCTGTCTTCCCCATTCATGCAGTCGGCCCACACAACAGTGATAGAACATATCATAAATCATAAAGGCAGAACAAAAGAAGTGCATCTGTATCCTGTGTTGTGGTTTTAATTCCATCCCAGTGTAAGCATGATATTACTAGTGACAATTTCAGTTCTTGTAATTTCTAGGGCCAGACTTTCTCTCCTAACCACTTACCTTGAGCAATTATTATGACCAAGACAGTTTTTTTTGTCTTGACAAAGATCAAGTGTTGACATAGCCCATACATAGACAGATGCAGAGCAGAGAATGTAAGCTTAAAAAAATAAAGGGGTGGGGAAAGAGTTTAATATAGGCAATTTCTCACAAATACATGTTGAGAAACATCTGAGAACCCATTGTTATATGACCAGTCATTCTGGTATGCGTGACCGTTTTCTCCAGGTTCCTCTGACCTCGTCTCACTCTCACTTTCCCACACAGGTGGTGCGTCTGTGCCAGAACCCTAAGGTGGCCCTGAAGAACAGCCCCCCATACATCCTGGACCTACTGCCAGACACCTACCAGCACCTCCGCACCATACTGTCCCGCTACGAGGGCAAGATGGAGACGCTTGGGGAGAACGAGTACTTCCGGGTGGTGATGGAGAACCTGACCAATAAGATCAAGCAGACCATGAGCTTGTTCAAGGAGGCCAAGGAGCGCATGTACGAGGAGAACTCTCAGCCCAGGTAAAATGGAGGGGGATATTGAGCCTGCTGGTAGCCAGTCTGTTTCTGCTATAGCCAACATGTTGTTTCTTCAAGGCAATGGTTTATAAACTGAACAAAAATATAAATGCAACATTTAAAGTGTTGGTCCCATGTTTCATGAGCTGAAATAAAAGTTCCCAGAAATGTTACATACGCACAAAAAAAATGTTATCTCAAATTTTGTGTACAAATGATTACATCGCTGTTAGTGAGCATTTCTCCTTTGCCAAGATAATCCATCCAGCTGACAGGTGTGGCATATCAAGAAGCTGATTAAACAGCATGATCATTACACCGGTTCAACTTGTTCTGGGGACAATAAAAGGCCACTCTAAAATGTGCAGTTTTGTCACAGAACACAATGCTACAGATGTCTCAAGTTTTAAGGGAGTGTTCAGTTGGCATGCTGACTGCAGGAATGTCCACCAGAGCTGTTGCCAGAGAATGTAATGTTCATTTATCTACCATAAGCCTCCTCCAACGTCGTTTTAGAGAATTTGGCAGTACGTCCAACTGGCCTCACAACCGCAGACCACGTGTATGGTGTCGGGTGGGCGAGCGGTTTGCTCATGTGAACAGAGTGCCCATATGACGGTGGGGGTATGGGCGGGCAGGCAGGCATAAACTACGCACAACGAACACAGTGGCATTTTATCGATGGCAATTTGAATGCACAGAGCTACCGTGACGAGATCCTGATGCCCATTGTCGTGCCATTCATCCGCCGCCATCACTTCATGTTTCAGCATTATAATGCACGGCCCCATGTCGCAAGGATCTGTACACAATTCCTGGAAGCTGAAAATGTCCCAGTTCTTCCATAACCTTTTTTTAAGGTATCTGTGACCAACAGATGCATATCTGTCATGTGAAATCCATAGATTAGGCCCTAATTAATTGATTTCAATTGACTGATTTTCTTACAGTGCATTCGGAAAGTATTCAGACCCCTTGACTTTTTCCACATTTTGTTACTTTACAGCCTTATTCTAAAATTGATTAAATATTTTTTTTTTCTCATCAATCTACACACTACCCCATAATGACAAAGCGAAAACAGGTTTAGAAATATTTGTCAATTGATAAAAAACAGATACCTTATTTATATAAGTATTCAGACCCTTTGCTATGAGACTCGATATTGAGCTCAGGTGCATCCTGTGTCCATTGATCATCCTTGAGATGTTTCTACAACTTGATTGGAGTCCACCTGTGGTAGATTCAATTGACTTGCAATCGATTTGCAAAAGGCACACACCTGTCTATATACGGTCCCACAGGTGACAGTGCATGTCACAGGAAAAACCAAGCCATGAGGCCGAAGGAATTGTCCATAGAGCTCTGAGACAGGATTGTGTCAAGGCACAGATCTGGGAAGGGTAGCAAAACATTTCTGCAGCATTGAAGGTCCCCAAGAACACAGTGGCGTCCATCATTCTTAAATGGAAGAAGTTTGGAACCACCAAGACTCTTCCTAGAGTTGGACGCCCGGCCAAACTGAGCAATCGAGGGAGAACGGCCTTCGTCAGGGAGGTGACCAAGAACCCGATGATCACTCTGACAGAGCTCCAGAGTTCCTCTGTGGAGATGGGAGAACCTTCCAGAAGGAAAACCATCTATGCAACACTCTACCAATCAGGCCTTTATGGTAGAGTGGCCAGACGGAAGCCACTCCTCAGCCCGCTTGGAGTTTGCTAAAAGGCACCAAAAGGACTCTCAGACCATGAGAAACAAGGTTCTCGGGTCTGATGAAACCAAGATTGAACTCTTTGGCCTGAATGCCAAGCGTCACATCTGGAGGAAACCTGGCACCATGCCTACGGTGGAGCATGGTGGTGGCAGCATCATGCTGTGGGGATGTTTTTCAGCGACAGTGACTGGGAGACTAGTCAGGATCGAGGGAAAGATAAACAGAGCAAAGTACAGAGAGATCCTTGATGAAAACCTGCTCCAGAGTGCTCAGGACCTCAGACTGGGGTGAAGGTTCACCTTCTAACGGGACAACAACCCTAAGCACACAGCCAAGACAACGCAGGAGTGGCTTCGGGACAAGTTTCTGAATGTCCTTGAGTGGTCCAGCCAGAGCCCGGACTTGAACCCGATCGAACAATCTCTGGAGAGACCTGAAAATAGCTGTGCAGCGACGCTCCCCATCCAACCTGACATATCTCGAGAGGATCTGCAGAGAGGAATGGGAGAAACTCCCTAAATACAGGTGTGCCAAGCTTGTAGCGTCATACCTAAGAAGACTCGAGGCTGTAATCGCTGCCAAAGGTGCTTCAACAAAGTACTGAGTAAAGGGTCTGAATACTTGTCATAAATGTCATATTTGAGTTTTATTTTATTTTATAAATTTGCTAACATTTCTAAAAACCTGTTTTTGCTTTGTCATTATGGGGTATTGTGTGTAGATTGAGGGAGAAAAAAACAATTGGATCCATCTTAGAATAAGGCTGTAATGTAACAAAATGTGGAAAAAGTGAAGGGGTGTGAATACTTTCCGAATGCACTGTTTATGAAATCTTTGAAATTGTTGCATGTTGCGTTTATTTTTGTTCAGTATAGTTGTTGAATGCATAACCAGGTGAGGTCAAAATTAGCTCTAAGGCTAGAACCCAACTTGAAAAGTAGGCCTAGGTGTTCCGATCAAAGGTTTCCTTTCTTGTTATCAAGATGACTGGTATGTCCAATTTCTGGGGGTTTCTCAAGTGATGTCTTGTTTTTTTAGTTAATGTGGTTCGTTAAACATTTCTACCACTTACGGGGGAGTGTAAGAGCATTTATGCTTATCTCAGAAGAGTTAACCTCCTCTTGAGTGAATCTTCAAAACAGGAACACCCCCCCCCATGACTCTGATGGGAGATGCTGTGTTATCAGTGTTTTGAATCTCTATGGTGGTTTGTGACAGGCAGAGTGCTGCATGCTGAGAAGATCAGATTTCCAAGAAACTACTCACACCTCAAACCAATGTTCTATTAATTAAGCACGTGTTATTTGAAAATATTTAAAGCTATTTACACCCCAAAAAAAGACTAGAAAATAGGAATTGGGCATTTTCATTATTTAGTTGCAGGTCATGTTGCGTAAAGCAAAGGAAAGTGGTGACAAGTGATGCAAGAACCGTTAAGCTAAATGATGAACAGATCTTTTTAGGGTTTATTTCCTCTTTTACTCAGAAATACATTACTAAGCTGAAACCCATCCTGTTTACTTTATTTATATGATTGCTAAACAAACTATCTCATTCTAGTTCTGTGGAAGCAATGATGCTATCAGTGATTCTTCTGACTCACAAGTAGCTCAAATGCATGAGCTATTATAAGAAACTGACCTGCTAGTACTCAAATACAACATGCAATAATTTGGTCAGACAAAAGGTTAACATACACATTGATTAGTGGTTTAGTGTTGTGTGCCTTAGCAATGGGTTTTCAGCAGATGACACTTCTAAGAAGCTCATCACACTTTCTTAAAGCTGAATGATTGATTGTACAGGGCTTTCAAAAAGTATTCAGACCCCTTGACCTTTTCCACATTTTGTTACGTTACAGCCTTATTCTAAAATGGATTAAAAATATAAATAATTCTCAGGAATCTACACACAATACCCCATAATGACAAAGCGAAAACAGGTTTTTAGACATTTTTGCTAAATAAAAAAATGAAATACCTTTATTTACGTAAGTATTCAGACACTTTGCTATGAGACTCGAAATTGAGCTCAGGTGCATCCTGTCTCCATTGATTATCCTTGAGATGTTTCTACAACTTGAAGTCCACCTGTGGTAAATTCAATTGATTGGACATGATTTGGAAAGGCACAAACCTGTCTATATAAGGTCCCACAGTTGACAGTGCATGTCAGAGCAAAAACCAAGCCATGAGGTCGAAGGAATTGTCCGTAGAGCTCCGAGACAGGACTGTGTCGAGGCACAGATCTGGGGAAGGGTACCAAAAAATGTCTGCAGCATTGAAGGTCCCCCAAGAACACAGTGGCCTCCATCATTCTTAAATGGAGGAGGTTTGGAACCACCAAGACTTCCAAGATCTGGCTGCCCGGCCAAAGTGAGCAATCGGGGAGGTGACCAAGAACTCAATGGTCACTCTGACAGAGCTCCAGAGTTCCTCTGTGGAGATGGGAGAACCTTCCAGAAGGACAACCATCTCTGCAGCACTCCACCAATCAGGCTTTTATGGTAGAGTGGCCAGATGGAAGCCACTCCTCAGTAAAAGGCACATGACAGCCCGCTTGGAGTTTGGCAAAAGGCACCTAAAGGACTCTCAGACTATGAGAAACAAGATTCTCTGGTCTGATGAAACCAAGATTGAACTGGCTGCCAAACGTGCTTCACCAAAGTACTGAGTAAAGGGTCTGAATACTTATGATTTTTTTTTTTTTTTTAAAAAAAAAAATTAACTAACATTTCTAAAAACCTGTTTTTGCTTTGTCATTATGTTGTATTGTAGATGAGGGGGGGGAAACTATTTAATCCATTTTAGAATAAGGCTGTAACGTAACAAAGTGGAAAAAGTCAAGAGGTCTGAATACTTTCCGAATGCACTGTATACTAACCCCAACACAAAAGCATCCAATCCTAAAAGATTAGGCTTATACCTAGCCTAAATGTTTGACCCAAAGTGCCAAAGTCAAGAAAATACATTACCATTGGTCAACTTCAGGGATATGAGGTTTGTCTGAGGACCTGATTCGCTAAGATGTCATACCTTTTCTTCATAGGCGGAACTTGACCAAGCTGTCGTTGATATTCAGCCACATGCTGGCTGAGCTAAAAGCCATCTTTCCCAATGGCCTGTTCCAAGGAGACAACTTCCGCATCACCAAAGCTGACGCCGCCGAGTTCTGGAGGAGGTCTTTTGGTGACAAGTGAGTTTGGCTCCTTTTATCATATTACATTTTCTTAGTTGGGAAGCAGTATTTACAAAAGGGGTTCAAATGAAACAAAAACGCTCAACTAAAAACATGCCTGGGGTTATTACTACTTTTGTATCACTAAACCCTCTCCCCTCTGTAGGACCATTGTTCCATGGAGGACGTTCCGCCAGGCTCTTCATGAGTTCCACCCCATCAGCTCAGGCCTGGAGGCCATGGCTCTCAAGTCTACCATCGACCTCACCTGCAACGACTGCATCTCCGTCTTTGAGTTTGACATCTTCACCAGGCTCTTCCAGGTAATGATTTGCATGGATTTGTATTTACGTTTCTCAAACTCAAATAATGATGATGGATGGGTTTTAATAACTATTTTCCAGGTGCCTGAAGCACTTTAGATTGAATGGCGGAAACTCAACTCATCCACTACCAAAATAGTTGTACACCCCTTCCATCACCAATTATGTAGGGAATGTGGTTTCACTGCTCCCAATTCCCATTCCTGACCCACTCACTATCATACTACTTTGGATAAGAGCATCTGCTAAATTTATACAAAGTGACTTACATTAAGTCAATTCAGGACCACTTACTGTAACAGTCATCGTATTCATAAGTAACCACCCTAAAGAACTTGCGTCTCTGCTATTGGTTGTGGAGTTTTCTGTTTAGCACGGCAGCAACTTTAGTACCTTTTTAAGCAGTCACAAAGTTGTTTTCTCTCTGAGGAGCCAAATGTACACAGAGCTCAACTGCTGTGTAGAAAGTTCACTGTAGAAGCTATCAAACTGGTGGAGGTGGCTAAGAAAAGGCCTGTGTGGGCGGTTAATTTCAACCATGGGTACTTTTTTATTCCATCAGAGGCCATAAGGACATGTTGTGAGTACAGAGGTAAAGATGGCTGCTCTATCATTATTTAGGGTGGGGAGGTTAAAGTACAGTCAGTACGTCCTCTATTGGAGGTCTCCCAACTGGGCGGGGCCTTTACAGTAGTTCCTTCGACTTTGTGTGCACAGAGGCCACAAGTGTTGGCACAGTCTGAGTCTGGGCAGACTGAAACCAAAATGACTTCCTCAAATTAGCCTTGACAATTGAACTGGAGCAGAGTTGCCTGTATATGTTTAGTTTATAGTGCAGCAGTGGTTACCTGCCAGTGGCACAGGGGCCTCGTTTATAAACGTTGCGTACGCACAAAATATGCCCCAAAAAATGCATGCGCCAGGTTCACGCAAAAGTTGGCATTTATAAAAACTTTACTTCAGGTGACAATGTGCTTATCCTCACGCAAACTTTAGACCATGTGTACGCACAGTTTCTAGTGGTTGAAGTATTGCAATGCAAGACGGCAAAAGTAGCCTAGGGCAGGAATATATGATGACACTCTTATTCATAACAACAAAAAAAGGTAAATACAGTGAGGGGAAAAAAGTATTTGATCCCCTGCTGATTTTGTACGTTTGCCCACTGACAAAGAAATGATCAGTCTATAATTTTAATGGTAGGTTTATTTGAACAGTGAGAGACAGAATAACAACAAAAAAATGTTATACATTGATTTGCATTTTAATGAGGGAATTAAGTATTTGACCCCCTCTCAATCAGAAAGATTTATGGCTCACAGGTGTCTTTTATACAGGTAACGAGCTGAGATTAGGAGCACACTCGTAAAGGGAGTGCTCCTAATCTCAGTTTGTTACCTGTATAAAAGACACCTGTCCACAGAAGCAATCAATCAATCAGATTCCAAACTCTCCACCATGGCCAAGACCAAAGAGCTCTCCAAGAATGTCAGGGACAAGATTGTAGACCTACACAAGGCTGGAATGGGCTACAAGACCATTGCCAAGCATCTTGGTGAGAAGGTGACAACAGTTGGTGCGATTATTCGCAAATGGAAGAAACACAAAAGAACTGTCAATCTCCCTCGGCCTGGGGCTCCATGCAAGATCTCACCTCGTGGAGTTGCAATGATCATGAGAACGGTGAGGAATCAGCCCAGAACTACACGGGAGGATATTGTCAATGATCTCTAGGCAGCTGGGACCATAGTCACCACGAAAACAATTGGTAACACACTACGCCGTGAAGGACTGAAATCCTGCAGCGACAATGACCCAAAACACACGGCCAAGGCAACAAAGTAGTGGCTCAATAAGAAGCACATTAAGGTCCTGGAGTGGCCTAGCCAGTCTCCAGACCTTAATCCCATAGAAAATCTGTGGAGGGAGCTGAAGGTTCGAGTTGCCAAACTTCAGGCTCGAAACGTTAATGACTTGGAGAAGATCTGCAAAGAGGAGTGGAACAAAATCCCTCCTGAGATGTGTGCAAACCTGGTGGCCAACTACAAGAAACGTCTGACCTCTGTGATTGCCAACAAGGGTTTTGCCACCAAGTACTAAGTCATGTTTTGCAGAGGGGTCAAATACTTATTTCCCTCATTAAAATGCAAATCAATTTATAACATTTTTGACATGCATTTTTCTAGATTTTTTTGTTGTTATTCTGTCTCTCACTGTTCAAATAAACCTACCATTAAAATTATAGACTGATAATTTCTTTGTCAGTGGGCAAACGTACAAAATCAGCAGGGGATCATTTTTAGTCAGCCACCAATTGTGCATGTTCTCCCACTTAAAAAGATGAGAGATGCCTGTAATTTTCATCATAGGTACACGTCAACTATGACAGACAAATTGAGGAAAAAAAATCCAGAAAATCACATCGTAGGATTTTTAATGAATTTATTTGCAAATTATGGTGGAAAATAAGTATTTGGTCACCTACAAACAAGCAAGATTTCTGGCTCTCACAGACCTGTAACTTCTTCTTTAAGAGGCTCCTCTGTCCTCCACTCGTTACCTGTATTAATGGCACCTGTTTGAACTTGTTATCAGTATAAAAGACACCTGTCCACAACCTCAAACAGTCACACTCCAAACTCCACAATGGCCAAGACCAAAGCGCTGTCAAAGGACACCAGAAACAAAATTGTAGACCTGCACCAGGCTGGGAAGACTGAATCTGCAATAGGTAAGCAGCTTGGTTTGAAGAAATCAACTGTGGGAGCAATTATTAGGAAATGGAAGACATACAAGACCACTGATAATCTCCCTCGATCTGGGGCTCAACGCAAGATCTCACCCCGTGGGGTCAAAATGATCACAAGAACGGTGAGCAAAAATCCCAGAACCACACGGGGGGACCTAGTGAATGACCTGCAGAGAGCTGGGACCAAAGTAACAAAGCCTACCATCAGTAACACACTACGCCGCCAGGGACTCAAATCCTGCAGTGCAAGACGTGTCCCCCTGCTTAAGCCAGTACATGTCCAGGCCCGTCTGAAGTGCATTTGGATGAACCAGAAGAGGATTGGGAGAATGTCATATGGTCAGATGAAACCAAAATATAACTTTTTGGTAAAAACTCAACTCGTCATGTTTGGAGGACAAAGAATGCTGAGTTTCATCCAAAGAACACCATACCTACTGTGAAGCATGGGGGTGGAAACATCATGCTTTGGGGCTGTTTTTCTGCAAAGGGACCAGGACGACTGATCCGTGTAAAGGAAAGAATGAATGGGGCCATTTATCGTGAGATCTTGAGTGAAAACCTCCTTCCATCAGCAAGGGCATTGAAGATGAAACGTGGCTGAGTCTTTCAGCATGACAATGATCCCAAACACACCGCCCGGGCAACGAAGGAGTGGCTTCGTAAGAAGCATTTCAAGGTCCTGGAGTGGCCTAGCCAGTCTCCAGATCTCAACCCCATAGAAAATCTTTGGAGGGAGTTGAAAGTCTGTGTTGCCCAGCGACAGCCCCAAAACATCACTGCTCTAGAGGAGATCTGCATGGAGGAATCGGCCAAAATACCAGCAACAGTGTGTGAAAACCTTGTGAAGACTTACAGAAAACGTTTGACCTGTGTCATTGCCAACAAAGGGTATATAACAAAGTATTGAGAAACTTTTGTTATTGACCAAATACTTATTTTCCACCATCATTTGCCAATAAATTCATTAAAAATCCTACAATGTGATTTTCTGGATAATTTTTTCTCATTTTGTCTGTCATAGTTGACGTGTACCTATGATGAAAATTACAGGCCTCTCTCATTTTTTTAAGTGGGAGAACTTGCACAATTGGTGGCTGACTAAATACTTTTTTTCCCCACTGTATGTGTGTGTTTGTGTGCGTATATATGCGAAAAAAAATACATATGGGGGATTGGAAGTGATGCAGACAATTACATTGATGGAAGTTACAATCTATCAGCAATATTAAAGCTGATCTACCCCCTAAAAAAAAAGAAACTACTACTAAAGGACCCCAATAAGAAGAAGAGACTTGCTTGGGCCAAGAAACACGAACAATGGACATTAGACCGGTGGAAATCTGTCCTTTTGATCTGGAGTCCAAATGTGAGATTTTTGGTTCCAACCGCTGTGTCTTTGTGAGACGCAGAGTAGGTGAACGGATGATCTCCGCATGTGTGGTTCCCACTGTGAAGCATGGATGAGGAGATGTGATGGTGTGGGGGTGCTTTGCTGGTGACACTGTCAGTGATTTATATAGATCCATGCAAGATCTCACCTCGTGGGGCATCAATGATCATGAGGAAGGTGAGGGATCAGCCCAGAACTACACAGCAGGTCCTGGTCAATGACCTGAAGAGAGCTGGGACCACAGTCTCAAAGAAAACCATTAGTAACACACTATGCCGTCATGGATTAAAATCCTGCAGCGCACGCAAGGTCCCCCTGCTCAAGCCAGCTCATGTCCAGGCCCGTCTGAAGTTTGCCAATGACCATCTGGATGATCCAGAGGAGGAATGGGAGAAGGTCATGTGGTCTGATGAGACAAAAATAGAGCTTTTTGGTCTAAACTCCACTCGCCGTGTTTGGAGGAAGAAGAAGGATGAGTACAACCCCAAGAACACCATCCCAACCGTGAAGCATGGATGTGGAAACATCATTCTTTGGGGATGCTTTTCTGCAAAGGGGACAGGACGACTGCACCGTATTGAGGGGAGGATGGATGGGGCCATGTATTGCGAGATCTTGGCCAACAACCTCCTTCCTTCAGTAAGAGCATTGAAGATGGGTCGTGGCTGGGTCTTCCAGCATGACAACGACCCGAAACACACAGCCAGGGCAACTAAGGAGTGGCTCCGTAAGAAGCATCTCAAGGTCCTGGAGTGGCCTAGCCAGTCTCCAGACCTGAACCCAATAGAACATCTTTGGAGGGAGCTGAAAGTCCGTATTGCCCAGCGACAGCCCCGAAACCTGAAGGATCTGGAGAAGGTCTGTATGGAGGAGTGGGCCAAAATCCCTGCTGCAGTGTGTGCAAACCTGGTCAAGACCTACAGGAAACGTATGATCTCTGTAATTGCAAACAAAGGTTTCTGTACCAAATATTAAGTTCTGCTTTTCTGATGTATCAAATACTTATGTCATGCAATAAAATGCAAATAAATTACTTAAAAATCATACAATGTGATTTTCTGGATTTTTGTTTTAGATTCCGTCTCTCACAGTTGAAGTGTACCTATGATAAAAATGCTCTACATGCTTTGTAAGTAGGAAAACCTGCAAAATCGGCAGTGTGTCAAATACTTGTTCTCCCCACTGTATATGGACAAGCAATGACAGAGCGGCATTGACTAAGATACAGTAGAATATTATGGAATAGAATGCATTATATACATATGAGATGAGTAGTGCAAGATATGTAAACATTGTTAAAGTGACTAGTGTTCCATTTCTTAAAGTGGCGAGTGATTTCAATAGCCTCTAATGTGCTAGTGATGGCTATTTAACAGTCTGATGGCCTTGAGATAGAAGCTATTCTTAATTCTCTCAGTCCCAGCTTTGATGCACCTGTACTGACCTCGCCTTCTGGATGATAGCGGGCTGAACAGGCAGTGGCTCGGGTGGTAGTTGTCCTTGGTTATCCTTTTGGCCTTCCTGTGACATCGGGTGCTGTATGTCTCTTGGAGGGCGGGTAGTTTGCCCCCGGTAATGCGTTCGGCAAACCGCACCACCCTCTGGAGAGCCCTGCGGTTGTGGGCGGTGCAGTTGCCGTACCAGGCGGTGATACAGCCCGACAGGATGCTCTCAATTGTGCATCTGTAAAAGTTTGAGGGTTAAGCCAAATTTCTTCAGCCTCTTGATGTTGAAGAGGCTCTGTTGCGCCTTCTTCACCACACTGTCTGCGTGTGAGGACCATTTCAGTTTGTCGGTGATGTGTACGCCAAGGAACTTGAAGCTTTTACCTTCTCCACTGCGGTCCCGTCGATTTGAATAGGGGGGTGCACCCTCTGCTGTTTCCTGAAGTCCACGATCATCTCCTTTGTTTTGTTGATGTTGAGTGAGAGGTTATTTTCCTGACACCACACTCCCAGAGCCCTCACCTCCTCCCTGTAGGCTGTCTCGTCATTGTTGGTAATCAAGCCTACTACTGATGTCGTCTGCAAACTTGATGATTGAGTTGGAGGCGTGCTTGGCCACGCAGTCATGGATGAACAGGGAGTACAGGAGGGGGCTGAGCACGCACCCTTGTGGGGCCCCAGTGTTGAGGATCAGCGAAGTGGAGATGTTGTTTCCTACATTCACCACCTGGGGGTAGCCCGTCAGGAAGTCCATCACCCAGTTGCACAGGTCTGGGTTCAGACCCAGGGCCTCAAGCTTAATGATGAGCTTGGAGGGTACTATGGTGTTGAATGCTGAGCTATAGTCAATGAACAGCATTCTTACATAGGTATTCCTCTTGTCCAGATGGGATAGGGCAGTGTGATGGCGATTGCATCGTCTGTGGATCTATTGGGGCGGTAAGCAAATTGAAGTGGGTCTAGGGTGACAGGTAAGGTAGAAGTGATATGATCCTTGACTAGTCTCTCAATGCACTTCATGATGACAGAGGTGAGTGCCACAGGGCGATAGTCATTTAGTTCAGTTACCTTTGCTTTCTTGGGTACAGTAACAATGGTGGCCATCTTGAAGCATGTGGGAACAGCAGACTGGGAAAGGGAGAGATTGAATATGTCCGTAAACACACCAGCCAGCTGGTCTGCGCATGCTCTGAGGACGCGGCTAGGGATGCCGTCTGGGCTGGCAGCCTTGCGGGGGTTAACATGCTTAAATGTCTTAATCACGTCGGCCATGGAGAAGGAGAGGCCACAGTCCTTGGTAGTGGGCCTCGTCAGTGGCACTGTGTTATCCTCAAAGTGGGTGAAGAAGGTGTTTAGCTTGTCTGGAAGCGAGACGTCGGTGTCGGCGACGTGGCTGGTTTTCCTTTTGTAAACCAGGTGAAGCTGGTTGAGAGAATACAAAGAGTGTGCAAAGCTGTCATCAAGGCAAAGGGTGGCTACTTTGAAGAATCTTTGAAGAATCTATTTTGATTTGTTTAACAACAATAATAGTGAAAACATTTCTTTTTTGGTTACTACATGATTCCATATGTGTTATTTCATAGTTTTGATGTCTTCACTATCATTCTACAATGTAGAAAATAGTAAAAATAAAGAAAAACCCTTGAATGAGTAGGTGTGTCAACTTTTGACTGATACTGTATATCATAACCATTGCAGAATACATTTCTCACCTTTTTCTGGCCATAATGAGTTCATATTCCCGAAGGGACCATACAACAAATTACCATGTGAATCTCTCATTTAATTGGGCCTATTAGATATAATTTCAAGTTTTTGCTCTATTCATCCGAAAGGGAGTGCTGTTTATTACATACAGTAGAATTTATCAGGTGAACAGACAGTTGATATTTTACATTGAAGTGTGTAGGCTACCACTGTAAGTAGGCCTATTGTAGTTTTAAATTTTTCAAGCAGACAATGTTTCAGAATTCGTGGGCAGTGCAGCATATTTAGGTTCTGGAAAAAGTGAATGCTAAACGTAATGGAATTCTGTTTACAGGTCCACAACAATTTGCAATTGTTTTTGTCTTTCAGAAACGGTCAGATAGGCTACAGCAAATGTAACTGCAAAAGAAAACATTCTGCCAACACCTCCAAAGACATTTAATCAAGTTCGCCATTGCTATTTCCTTTAGATACTGTCTTGGCCTAATTCCAATACTGCCAAGGTACAGTGGGGAAAAAAATTTTTTAGTCAGCCACCAATTGTGCAAGTTCTCCCACTTAAAAAGATGAGAGAGGCCTGTAATTTTCATCATAGGTACACGTCAACTATGACAGACAAAATGAGATTTTTTTTCTCCAGAAAATCACATTGTAGGATTTTTTAATGAATTTATTTGCAAATTATGGTGGAAAATAAGTATTTGGTCAATAACAAAAGTTTCTCAATACTTTGTTATATACCCTTTGTTGGCAATGACACAGGTCAAACGTTTTCTGTAAGTCTTCACAAGGTTTTCACACACTGTTGCTGGTATTTTGGCCCATTCCTCCATGCAGATCTCCTCTAGAGCAGTGATGTTTTAGGGCTGTCGCTGGACAACACAGACTTTCAACTCCCTCCAAAGATTTTCTATGGGGTTGAGATCTGGAGACTGGCTAGGCCACTCCAGGACCTTGAAATGCTTCTTACGAAGCCACTCCTTCATTGCCCGGGTGGTGTGTTTGGGATCATTGTCATGCTGAAAGACCCAGCCACGTTTCATCTTCAATGCCCTTGCTGATGGAAGGAGGTTTTCACTGAAAATCTCACGATACATGGCCCCATTCATTCTTTCCTTTACACGGATCAGTCGTCCTGGTCCCTTTGCAGAAAAACAGCCCCAAAGCATGATGTTTCCACCCCTATGCTTCACAGTAGGTATGGTGTTCTTTCGATGCAACTCAGCATTCTTTGTCCTCCAAACACGACATGTTGAGTTTTTACCAAAAAGTTCTATTTTGGTTTCATCTGATCATATGACATTCTCCCAATCCTCTTCTGGATCATCCAAATGCACTCTAGCAAACTTCAGACGGGCCTGGACATGTACTGGCTTAAGCAGGGGGACACGTCTGGCACTGCAGGATTTGAGTCTCTGGCGGCGTAGTGTGTTACTGATGGTAGGCTTTGTTACTTTGGTCCCAGCTCTCTGCAGGTCATTCACTAGGTCCCCCCGTATGGTTCTGGGATTTTTGCTCACTGTTCTTGTGATCATTTTGACCCCACGGGGTGAGATCTTGCGTGGAGCCCCAGATCGAGGGAGATTATCAGTGGTCTTGTATGTCTTCCATTTCCTAATAATTGCTCCCACAGTTGATTTCTTCAAACCAAGCTGCTTTTCTATTGCAGATTCAGTCTTCCCAGCCTGGTGCAGGTCTACAATTTTGTTTCTGGTGTCCTTTGACAGCGCTTTGATCTTGGCCATAGTGGAGTTTGGAGTGTGACTGTTTGAGGTTGTGGACAGGTGTCTTTTATACTGATAACAAGTTCAAACAGGTGCCATTAATACAGGTAACGAGTGGAGCACAGAGGAGCCTCTTAAAGAAGAAGTTACAGGTCTGTGAGAGCCAGAAATGTTGCTTGTTTGTAGGTGACCAAATACTTATTTTCCACCATAATTTGCAAATAAATTCATTAAAAATCCTACAATGTGATTTTCTGGAAAAAAAATTCTCAATTTGTCTGTCATAGTTGACGTGTACCTATGATGAAAATTACAGGCCACTCTCATCTTTTTAAGTGGGAGAACTTGCACAATTGGTGGCTGACTAAATACTTTTTTCCCCCACTGTATACAGAAAATAAGGACGTTATTGTCACCATAAAAGGTGAATGAAGGATGTTTTTCAGGCGGAGTTGTTATAATGCTTGTTCACGGGTACACAGTTTTACGAAAGGTCTGATTTATAACGGGAAACATGCGTATTTATGGCATGTGCCAAATATATAAATCTCAATGTTTAGTGTAAAATTTACGCAACGGTTATAAATGAGGCCCCAGGAGACCTACTGGGTGTGCATGCTTTTGTTCCAGCCCACCACTAACACATCAGCTTCAACTAATAATCAATTGATCATCAAGACCATTGAGGAGATTAGGACTGGGCTGGAATAAAATCATGCACGCCCTGTAGCTCTCCAGACCACTGTTGTCGTGAATATCAGGTGAAGAACACAAGTGCTTCTTTGTTAGCTAGGATTAAGATTTGTTGTCAATACAAATACAAGCTGTTGTTGCTGTACGGGTTCTGACCGTGGTGTGTGTGTGTGTTGGATTGTGCAGCCGTGGTCATCTCTCCTGAGGAACTGGAACAGTCTGGCTGTCACACATCCGGGGTACATGGCCTTCCTCACCTACGACGAGGTCAAGGCCCGACTGCAGAGGTTCATCCACAAGCCTGGCAGGTGAGACACACATACACCTGACACTGAAGTAAATATTTTGACATGCACACACTTGCATACAAAAAAAACATCACAGAGCACACAGAGACCGTCCAAGTACATCAACACGTACACGCTCAACTTCTCTCACACAACACGTTTGTGGTCTGCCTCTGTCCCAGTTATATCTTCAGACTGAGTTGCACTCGGCTGGGCCAGTGGGCCATTGGCTACGTCACTGCAGATGGGAACATCCTGCAGACCATCCCCCACAACAAGCCCCTCTTTCAGGCCCTCATTGATGGATACAGGGAGGGATTGTGAGTATGACATAGCCAAGATGAAAGAATGACCAAATACTACCTTTTCTGGTTCAGTCAAGGCGTTTGCAAAATATGTTGTGTAAAGTTTCCTCTGAAAGAGGTTGAAATCAGTTTAAGACTACAAACAAAAAATCATCACAGAATTGCACATTTTAATTAGTTGAAATAACAGGAAATCATACTTCAACTGGCCATTGAAATGTTTTGATTTGTTGCTCTCTCTCCAGCTACTTGTTCCCAGATGGCCGGGCCCAGAACCCAGACCTCACAGGTCTGTGTGAGCCCTCCCCACAGGACCACATCAAAGTCACACAGGTCAGACACACACACTCACATCCACGAAGTTCATAACATTCACTACAGGTCGTAATTCAGACTTCAGATTCACTTGTGACTCAAACTTTTGCCTACTGTAATTTTCCATTGCTTACAATGCCCTAAACGTACATTTGTATACTTATTCAGATTTATGTGAATCTATCTCAAGTCAGAATACTGTCTGTTTAGATCAGGGGTGTCAAACTCATTTTAGCTCAGGGGCCACATGGAGGAAAATCTATTCCCAAGTGGGCCGGACCGGAAAAATCATGGTATATATAACTTAAAAACAACAACTTCAGATTGTTTTCTTTGTTTTAATACGATCAACATAAAGCTGGAGCCTGAGGACAGTGTGTCCAAAATAGTACAAGCACAACATCACTATTAATCATAAAACACGTCAAGTTTATTTGAAAATTCTAAAGAAAAAGAACACACAAACACACAATGCCTCAGTGATTAACAGAACTGTTTCACAGATCACAGAACTATATCAGGGTGTCGTTTCTCAGGCAGAAATGTAGATAAAAATAATGAAATCCTGTTCCCCAAACAAGTGCAAGAACCACAGAGTCAAGAATAGGTTAAATATACAAATAAAATAAAATCAATTAAAAACAATAGCACATCAACATAAAAACATATAAACATAAATCTGAAAGCGTTGCTCAAACTCCCGTAACAGTCCCGTTATTTTATCTTTGAACCGCTTCATGTCTGCCACATGTTGGGTCGCGCACACATTTTTCAGACAGGGGAAGTGAGCTGCATCACCACCGGCAAGTTGCGTCTCCCACAATGACAGCTTCAACTTGAAAGAACGTATGCTGTCATAATACTGCGTGACAACTTTGTTGCGCCCTTGCAGCTGTTTGTTCAAGTTATTCAGGTGCTCTGTAACATCCACCATAAATGCAAGGTCCGGCATCCATTCTGCGGAATGAAATTCTAACACTGGTTTGCCCTTTTCTTCCATGAACTGTTCAATTTCTTCTCGTAAATCAAAGAAACGCCTCAGCACAGCACCTCGGCTTAACCATCTTACCTCAGTGTGGTATGGCAGGCCATAGATGTGGTCTTTCTCTCTGAGAAGGCTGTCAAACTGACGGTGATTCAGGCTTCTGGATCGGATGAAATTAACAGTTTGGATGACCACCTTCATGACGTTATCCATATTTAATGACTTGCAACACAAAGCCTCCTGGTGCAAAATACAGTGAAAAGTCAAAAAATCACGTCCTCCATTTGCAGATTGCACTTTCTCTCTGAACTTTGTCACAACGCCTGCTTTTTTCCCGATCATTGAGGGCGCACCATCTGTAGCCAGGCTGACAGCGCGGGACCAGTCCACTCCGACCCTGTCCAGCGCGCCGACGAGTGCTGTAAAAATATCAGCTGCTGTCGTTGTATCTGTCATCGGCACCAACTCCACGAACTCCTCGGTGACGGTCAATGTGTCATCAACTCCGCGGATGAAAAAATGGCCAGTTGTGCAACATCTGTAATGTCCGTGCTTTCATCAATTGCAACCGAAAACGCAATAAATGACTTTACTTTTTGCTTCAACTGGCTGTCCAAATCCACTGAAAGATCGGAAATCCTGTCTGCAACTGTGTTTCTTGTCAGGCTGATATTTGCAAAAGCCTGCCGCTTTTCAGGGCACACAATCTCCGCTGCCTTCATCATGCATGTTTTTAAAAATTCACCCTCACTAAATGGTTTTGAAGCCACTGCGATTTCATTAGCAATGAGGTAGCTAGCTTTCACTGCAGCGTCACTGATGTCTCGGCTGTGAGTAAACACAGACTGCTGTTTCTTCAGACCCGCCAACAGTTCATTCACCTTCTCTCATCTCCGCTGTCCTTGAGAGTTGTCATATTTGTCGGCATGAAGACTCACATAGTGGCGACGAAGGTTATATTCTTTCAGCACTGCAACATGCTCTGAACACACCAAACATACAGATTTTTCTTGGAACACTCTGCACTCTGCGTCCACTTTTCTCTTTTTTGACAGAGACATATTGGGGCAATGAGGGTGCCAAAGCACATAATGTTAAAAGTAGAAGCCGTAATAAATATCGCGGGCAAAACAAAGTAGCTCATTGGCTGCACGTGCTTGACCTACTTGCTCTGCCCCGGTATAAACAGTTTGCTTGCTTAACACAATTGCTATTGCGCCATCTAGTGGACGCAATTGGAACAGCAGTTTATTTTATTGAAAAATTGCAGCGCATTTTTATACTTTACAAAACAAAAAAACTAAACAATTTTTTTTTTTTTTTTTTTAAATCATCTCGCGGGCCGGATTAAACCCGTTTGCGGGCCTGATCCGGCCCGCGGGCCGTACGTTTGACACCCCTGGTTTAGATGGATGTTTCCTAAAATCAGAATTGGGCCAGAAAATATTTGTCCTATTGAAGTATGCATACACTGAGATATGACATTTCTGATGTATCTTTTACTTATGTGATACTCATCCTATCTCCTTTCTCTTCACTGTGCTACAGGAGCAGTATGAGCTCTACTGTGAGATGGGCTCCACATTCCAGTTGTGTAAGATCTGTGCAGAGAACGACAAGGATGTGAAGATAGAGCCCTGCAGCCACCTCATGTGCACCTCCTGTCTCACTGCCTGGCAGGTAGGTCCCAGAATTAGGTCATCCCGCAAGAGTGTCTATTGGTTCACATTCATTTTGTACATTTTATCTGGGCCCGTATCCACAAAGCGTCTCAGAGTAGAACATTGGTCGTAAGTGCTGAGAATAGAGACATTTTACTCCTACTCTTATGGGTCAAAATAAAAGCTATGCATGAAGCCTCTTCAGTCAGAAGTCACTCCTAGTCGACAGATATTTAGGACACCTCATTAGCTGTCCTAACCAGTTAAGAGTTACCAACAGGTGTCTTGATAAAAGAAAAATGCAGTGAGTCAGTGTTTCCTGCGTCACATGCAATTGTTTTGAGTTGTTAAGAATGTTTTGATATTTCATAAATAATCTAGACCTACATGTAACAGTATCTCTTGCACTTTTGACAATTTCACAAGGCATGTTTTACATGATATGCTTAAATACTTAACCACTTAGTTATTTAAAGTTATCCATTTGGAATGCAACATGTTGTAAAAAAAATCTCTAAATTAGGCATGCCTATAAATTGTGCAATTGAAGGCATATATATAGTGCTTGTGTTAACTTTGATAGTGTTTGATGAAAATGATAGACCTTTCAAAACGTTGTGTGCAGTGTTGTATGCAACATTATCGGCAAGTGACTTGATGCCTACTCTGCCAAAGTGATTTAGAGTTGTTAAACGGGAATGACGACGAGTGTGTGTTGATAACGGTAATATTATGAAAATTCCGCTTTTAACCATATCATTTTTATTAAAATAAAGGTTATGGTTGCCAACATATTAGGCAATAATTAAGAGTAGGCAAAGTGATTGTGTCAGGCGAAAATGATATCAAACGTTTTACCATTACAGCATTTGATGTACAGTCACCTTCACTGTCATTGTCTGAAGCATGCTATATAGAGTTCACGCTGGCGATGCCGTATGTCTGAGCAGTGTCTTAACATCATCCTAAAACCTACTCTGAGCTGGGAGGTTTTTTTCTTCTTAAAACAGGTTAACAGGATTCCTAGGACCTTTTCTGAGATGCTTTGTGGATATGGGCCTTGGCCCGATTTAGTTTTAAACTGCGGTATTGCTCTCTCCCAGGAATCGGAGGGGCAGGGCTGTCCATTCTGCCGCTGTGAGATTAAAGGCACAGAGCCCATCGTGGTAGACCCCTTCCACCCCAAGAACAGCAGCAGCGGGGCCTCCTTTGCCAGCTTCCAGGGACCTTACGGGGCGGAAGGAGGGGGCTCCCTGTCAGTCTCCCCCAGCAACGATGAGGACGATGACGAGCGCCTGGAGGACCCCCACCTCATTATGAACAGGCTGGCCTGCACCAAGGCAAGTCCCCCACCTCACCCCCAGCCACCATCTATGACCAGCCAGACTTTGTCATGTTCTCTCTATTTCTCCTACACACACCATCTCACAACATCATTGTGTCCTTATGTGGTAAAAGTGAAAAGACAATCTATAAAAGACTTGGTAGTTTTCAGAATTTGCCAATCAGATACACCACCCAGTAAATCAACAACAACAAAAACAGCTCCTCCATCTACATGTTGTAGAAACAAGCTGACGTCTCAAGTTTGTTTTGATGCCTCCCCTGTGTGTTTTCAGGTGGAGCGCCCGCCCTCCCCTGTGACGCCGCTGCCCCCTGTGCCCCCCCGGCTGGACCTGCTGCAGCAGAGGCCTCCCAGCTCCCCAGGGGTCCTGGGCCAAGGAGCAACAACCAAGGCAAGTGGAGGACCTAATCTGTCAATCACTTAATCTAATTCAAGCTTATTTTGTTATGTATATAATGGTGTGCCCATGCATGTCATGTGACTTTTACATTTTACTAATTTAGCTGACTCTCTAATCCAGAGAGACAAGTATTGCATACAGTCATTAATATCTGCTCTCCCCAGATTGCAGCCCTCCACAGAGACAAACCTTTGCCCCTCCCTCCTGCCCTGAGAGAGTTACCCCCACCTCCCCCACCCGAACGCCCCTCTCCCCTTGGACTGCCAGAGGGCCGGCTCCAAAGGAGACCCCTGCCATGCACCCCTCCAGAGCCCAACTGGGCCTCCAACTACATGGTTCCCCGCCCCGTAGCCAAGGCCCCCCCACAGACCAACGGACCCAGTGACAGTGACTGTATCCACAGAGCAAAGCCGCTAGCAGCGACCAACGCTATCTACTCCCTGGCAGTCGGGTATGGCATATGTATAGATATGGATAAAATGTGTTATAGATGTAATGTAGATGTTCAATAGAGAGAAGTCACTCCTTGCCCTGAAGAGTTCTGGGAAATGCAGATTTTTATTCTAGTCCAGCACTAAATCACTAGATTTAATGTAATGGTGGTCTTCCATTCCTGACGTGATTGGTTGAATCAGAGGCTCTCTGGGACTTAGATTGTCTATAGACCCTGTAGTAACTCATAGAATGACTGATCGGTAATTCAATATGTTGTATGTATTACCTGGCTCAGTCTCTCTTGCTCTCTGTTGTTAGGCCTCCTCAACAGGAGTCTACTGGTGAGAAGTCATCTGGGAGTGATGAGGAGAATGAGTACATGAGCCCCACCTCTCTCCCTGCAGGAGGATCCTCCTGGGCCATGGCGGGTGCTGTTGTGCCCGCACCACCACTGCTCCAAACCACTAACCACGACTCACGGTGAGCGCTCAAGACTGTCATTGAGGTGACTCAGTGGATTATGATTGAATGATTGAACCATCCTAGATGTATGTATTTCCTGAATGGTTTAAATCTATGATCAATCAGTACAGGGTCCTGACTAACGTTTTTCTGATGCCCCTCCCTCTGCCATTCATCTTCCTCCATCCCTGCCTCTTTCTCTCCACTCCCCCCTTCTATCCTAGGACTGTGGTGTGTGATGTGGACTGTGAGGACCCTCAGGTGTATGAGTCCATGTGTAACATCCAGGCGCAGGCTAGTGCTACTGTGCTCCTACCTCTGGCCTCCCTGTCCCTGCCCCAGCAGCCCCCGGAATCAGGTACATGGAGATGGATGAAGGATCTCTATTCTCACTTTTCTGATTGCACATGAAGTTACATAATCATCACTTTGTACAATCAGAAAACCACCATGCAACTTGGGCTTGAATCACACTGGCGTCTTTTGTATGTCTACAGTCGTGGTCAAAAGTTTTGAGAATGACACAAGTATTGGTCTTCACAAAGTTTGCTGCTTCAGTGTTTTTAGATATTTTTGTCAGATGTTACTATGGTATACTGAAGTATAATTACAAGCATTCCATAAGTGTCAAAGGCTTTTATTGACAATTACATTAAGTTTATGCAAAGAGTCAATATTTGCAGTGTTGACCCTTCTTTTTCAAGGCCTCTGCAATCCGCCCTGGCATGCTGTCAATTAACTTATAGGCCACATCCTGACTGATGGCAGCCCATTCTTGCATAATCAATGCTTGGAGTTTGTCAGAATTTGTGGGTTTTTGTTTGTCCACCCGCCTCTTGAGGATTGACCACAAGTTCTCAATGGGATTAAGGTCTGGGGAGTTTCCTGGCCATGGACCCAAAATGTCGATGTTTTGTTCCCAGAGCCACTTAGTTATCACTTTTGCCTTATGGCAAGGTGGTCCATCATGCTGGAAAAGGCATTGTTCGTCACCAAACTGTTCTTGGATGGTTGGGAGAAGTTGCTCTCGGAGCATGTGTTGGTACCATTCTTTAGTCATGGCTGTGTTCTTAGGCAAAATTGTGAGTGAGCCCACTCCCTTGGCTGAGAAGCAACCCCACACATGAATGGTCTCAGGATGCTTTACTGTTGGCATGACACAGGACTGATGGTAGCGCTCACCTTGTCTTCTCCGGACAAGCTTTTTTCCGGATGCCCCAAACAATCGGAAAGGGGATTCATCAGAGAAAAATACTTTACCCCAGTCCTCAGCAGTCCAATCCCTGTACCTTTTGCAGAATATCAGTCTGTCCCTGATGTTTTTTCTGGAGAGAAGTGGCTTCCTCACTGCCCTTCTTGACACCAGGCCATCCTCCAAAAGTCTTTGCCTCACTGTGCGTGCAGATGCACTCACACCTGCCTGCTGCCATTCCTGAGCAAGCTCTGCACTGGTGGTGCCCCGATCCTGCAGCTGAATCAATTTTAGGAGACGGTCCTGGTGCTTGCTGGACTTTCTTGGGCGCCCTGAAGCCTTCTTCACAACAATTGAACCTTTCTCCTTGAAGTTCTTGATGATCCGATAAATGGTTGATTTAGGTGCAATCTTACTAGCAGCAATATCCTTGCCTGTGAAGCCCTTTTTGTGCAAAGCAATGATGACGGCACGTGTTTCCTTGCAGGTAACCATGGTTAAGAGGAAGAACAATGATTTCAAGCACCACCCTCCTTTTAAAGCTTCCAGTCTGTTATTCTAACTCAATCAGCATGACAGAGTGATCTCCAGCCTTGTCCTCGTCAACACTCTCACCTGTGTTAACGAGAGAATCACTGACATGATGTCAGCTGGTCCTTTTGTGGCAGGGCTGAAATGCAGTGGAAATGTTATTTTGGGATTAAGTTCATTTTCATGGCAAAGAGGGACTTTGCAATTAATTGCAATTCATCTGATCACTCTTCATAACATTCTGGAGTATATGCAAATTGCCATCATAAAAACTGAGGCAGCAGACTTTGTGAAAATTAATATTTGTGTCATTCTCAAAACTTTTGACCACGACTGTACACCTGCCCAGAAACATACCATCTCAATGAATGTGGCCACAATTGGATTACAGTTATTAGTTAAGCCAGTTATCATGTATCTCAGCACGTGGAACATGTACAGTGGGGGAAAAAAAGTATTTAGTCAGCCACCAATTGTGCAAGTTCTCCCACTTAAAAAGATGAGAGAGGCCTGTAATTTTCATCATAGGTACACGTCAACTATGACAGACAAAATGAGAAAACAAAATCCAGAAAATCACATTGTAGGATTTTTAATGAATTTATTTGCAAATTATGGTGGAAAATAAGTATTTGGTCAATAACAAAAGTTTCTCAATACTTTGTTATATACCCTTTGTTGGCAATGACACAGGTCAAACGTTTTCTGTAAGTCTTCACAAGGTTTTCACACACTGTTGCTGGTATTTTGGCCCATTCCTCCATGCAGATCTCCTCTAGAGCAGTGATGTTTTGGGGCTGTCGCTGGGCAACACGGACTTTCAACTCCCTCCAAAGATTTTCTATGGGGTTGAGATCTGGAGACTGGCTAGGCCACTCCAGGACCTTGAAATGCTTCTTACGAAGCCACTCCTTCGTTGCCTGGGCGGTGTGTTTGGGATCATTGTCATGCTGAAAGACCCAGCCACGTTTCATCTTCAATGCCCTTGCTGATGGAAGGAGGTTTTCACTCAAAATCTCACGATACATGGCCCCATTCATTCTTTCCTTTACACGGATCAGTCGTCCTGGTCCCTTTGCAGAAAAACAGCCCCAAAGCATGATGTTTCCACCCCCATGCTTCACAGTAGGTATGGTGTTCTTTGGATGCAACTCAGCATTCTTTGTCCTCCAAACACGACGAGTTGAGTTTTTACCAAAAAGTTATATTTTGGTTTCATCTGACCATATGACATTCTCCCAATCCTCTTCTGGATCATCCAAATGCACTCTAGCAAACTTCAGACGGGCCTGGACATATACTGGCTTAAGCAGAGGGACACGTCTGGCACTGCAGGATTTGAGTCCCTGGCGGCGTAGTGTGTTACTGATGGTAGGCTTTGTTACTTTGGTCCCAGCTCTCTGCAGGTCATTCACTAGGTCCCCCCGTGTGGTTCTTGTGATCATTTTGACCCCATGGGGTGAGATCTTGCGTGGAGCCCCAGATCGAGGGAGATTATCAGTGGTCTTGTATGTCTTCCATTTCCTAATAATTGCTCCCACAGTTGATTTCTTCAAACCAAGCTGCTTACCTATTGCAGATTCAGTCTTCCCAGCCTGGTGCAGGTCTACAATTTTGTTTCTGGTGTCCTTTGACAGCTCTTTGGTCTTGGCCATAGTGGAGTTTGGAGTGTGACTGTTTGAGGTTGTGTACAGGTGTCTTTTATACTGATAACAAGTTCAAACAGGTGCCATTAATACAGGTAACGAGTGGAGGACAGAGGAGCCTCTTAAAGAAGAAGTTACAGGTCTGTGAGAGCCAGAAATCTTGCTTGTTTGTAGGTGACCAAATACTTATTTTCCACCATAATTTGCAAATAAATTCATAAGAAATCCTACATTGTGATTTTCTGGAAAAAAAATTCTCAATTTGTCTGTCATAGTTGACGTGTACCTATGATGAAAATTACAGGCCTCTCATCTTTTTAAGTGGGAGAACTTGCACAATTGGTGGCTGACTAAATACTTTTTTCCCCCACTGTATATCCTGTATTCAGGGTATTTAAATCACTCTTTCTTTTTTTATCCCTTTAATCCTCTTGTTTCCCTCCAGACTACCTCATCCCTCCCCCTGCGGTTCCCCTGCACCATGTGGTAGAGGAGATTGAGGAAGAGGATGTGTATGAGTATGACTACCCACGACCCCAAGCTCCCCCGGCACCCGCCAGGCGCACCCTCTCTGATGTCACCGGCACCTCGGCCGTCTTCAGCTGCCTCTCAATGGATAGCCCTACCATAGATGCCTGTATGTAACTCAGCATTAGGGTTTTCAGTCCTTTTCCTCTCTTACTTTGTCATGTTAAGAGTTATATTTATCAAACACCATCTCATGAACATGTTCTCTCCTCTTCTCTCTCCCAGCTACGTTTGCATCAGGTCAGGACCCCGAGCGCCCCCCTAAGCCCCTCCCCCGCCGGGTCAACTCAGACCACCGGCCCCGCCCCCTTACCCCAGAGGCCCTGCCCCCTGCTGCCAGTCCATCAGCTGGCTCCCGAGGGGGGCCCGGTCCCGCTCCAGTTCCCGGTGCGGCGCTACCCATCAACGGGGAGATAGAGTGTCTGATGAGCCAGGGTTACTCATTCCAGGACATTCAGAAGGCCCTGATGATCGCCCAGAACAACCTGGAGACGGCCAAGAACATCCTGCGCGAGTTTGTCTCCATCCCCTCCACGGCCCACATCCTCACGTAGCAGCCTCAACACCGCACCCTATATCATTTACCCACTGTGCCATAATGGATAGCATTTCTACTGTGCTGGTTGTGACAGGTCTAGAAGCGCTGTAAATTGTGAGGGTAGGAGGACTCACCTCGGTCCCATGCACAGGCATCTAGTGAGAGAATCTAAAGGGAGAGGGAGAATGCTTGATGTGGCCTCTGTATGGCCAAGCCTTTGACCCTTGTATGGTCGTTTGTGCTTGGCTCTGGTCTTATTGTGTGGCTCTAAGCATTTCCTTGTTTCTGAGTGCAGGGTAGAATAAGCCTAACTTTACACTGTGTGCTTAGGCTGCAGTGTCTCGCAAGGAATAGTTTGGGACTTATTGTGCAGCAGCAGTAACTGTCATTGGGGCATACTTGACTCATGATTCCCACTCCCTCTTCACCCTAATGGTGCCCATGTTAGTTTTGGTTGGGTCATAGTCGTACATACAGTTTGTAGCTAGATACGCCAGGTGGAGACTAAAGCATTTGATTTTGTGGTTTGTGCTAAAGCTAATGAATGTGAATATTTTAGTTGCATTGCAGTATTACAGGGCTCCATGTCATACATTTCACTGTAATTGTAGTAGACGAAGTAACGGTTTTTAAAAAGTAAGCATAACTCCAAATTGCTTTAGTTCCTGGTTTAGTGATTGTCTTATAATATATAACAGTCTGAATGACGTGTACGTAATCTTGGAATGTACAGTAAGCGTATTCAATGTAGTGCTAACATTGACTGGTGAACTAACGTGTAACATTTCTGATGTCATTATTTTGTATAATTGTATTAATGCCACCAGTGGTAGTGGTTTCACGGTTAAGCCTTATTGTTAATTCTGTGAATAGCTTATATATTTTAAAGTGAGTGTCCTTTTTTAATGTCATACTTAAAAATTAAGGGAGTATATGTGCCCTATCTGAATTTTGCTCTCTACTAATCAGTGTGCAATTGGACTGCTGCTTGTAAGGGTTTGTTTTTTCGTATCCATACTATTAATTTTCCAGACAATAACATGTTGATTGGGCAGAGAAGACAAAGTGATCCCAAGTCATGTATACACCATGATATTTAGTGAAATGAAGTACTTAATTGGCACTACCTCAGACTTGCTTTGCTGCCTCCTCTGGGAAAGAACACTTTGTTTATACGTTACAAACAGAACATTGCCCCATCTTAAGGTGGCTCAATATTAGTTTTGAACTTTTATGTAGTTTCTTTGTACCTACGTTGATTAGCATTGTTTTTTCCCCCAAGGATGTGGCTTCGACACATTGAGAAATCTGTAAATATATGAATAATTAAATCTATTTCCTTTGAATTTGAAACCCCGTTGAACAGAGGGAGTTTTTGTCATTGTCTTCTGGACTCAGGTACACATCAGACTGAACAATGTGCAGTGATATGCCAAGGTTGTATGGGGACTCTCACACCAGAAATGTTAGGTGTTAATGTGTTGGATTCAAAGCCAAAAGCATTTAAATACAGGTTTAAATCACATATTATTAGATACTTGTAAGGTAAATGTAAAGAATGGCCATGATATTTCTGCATCGGTTTGTTTCGCTTGAGTTCAATATTGTTTTAACTTCTTTCAAATTGTGATATACATTGACTGCATTTCATTGATCATGAACTTAAGTGCCACTCCTTGTAAAATCCTTTGTGAGAATTGACTTGAAACTGAAATGGTTCAAAGTGGTGCTTTCTAAGGCCTCTGCTTTCCACTGTCTCGCTCATATGTGGACTTACCACAAGAGGGCACTCTGTCATAAGAGATTGCTGTGGTCTCATGCCACACTAGTCATTGCACCACCACACACAGTGCTCAATAGTTGCAGAATTTACTGGTATACTGTTGGTACTTTGTCGTTCGATCCAATGTGAAATTGTATATTATAATTCATTGTGCGCCTCACCTGTACATACGGAGAGAACTAACAAAAAAAAGAGCTTTTTTTCATTGCCTTATTGCATGTGTAGATGAAGTATTTTATTTATTGATTTTAATATACTCAGCATTCATTATGTTGCCATGTGTTCATGCCTCAGCCATTAAAGATTTTCAAATAAACAATATTTTCTTTAACATTTGATTGGTATATTTTATTGAAAAAGTTAAATAATACTGTAGTACTGAAAATATTGTCTATGTAGCTCGTTACGAACCCAATAACTAGCCTACTAATATTGTTTTGCACTTGCTTTGTCTAGGGGTCCGAGGCCTAGTTACATGGTCTGTAACCTGAAAGAATGTGTGCATTTATGTGAGAAATCAGCGTTTGAGGACCCAGGAGACAGCAACTTACCGCGTTCAGGGCCAGCTCCATCTTGGTCTGCCAGTCAAAGCAGATGATTATTCGTTCAGATGGTGATGAAACACCAAGCATGCTGTCTATGGAAATCTGAAGCTACTGTACTACTCACTCCAGGATACAGCATAACGGTGGTTAGGGGGTAGAAGTCGCCCCTTTTCCCCGTCGATCACATTCTGGGTCTCTGTTATAGACCATAGTGAGGCGTAGTCATTTTGGCTGTTGTGAATTAAATCTATCAGTGGAAATATGTATTTTCAGTCGTGCCATTGAAATGCACTCGTAGTACATTTTCAATTCTCTGCTATGAACTTTAATTTAAATATTTAGTGTAAAGATGACAATGAAAAAGAGATCAAATGTAACCTTTTTATTTGGCATTTTCTTGCAAAAAAATTATAAAAAGGCAAGCATCAAATCACAAGAACTGTACTTAATTTACACATGTTTGCAATATCAGAACATTACAAAACAATGATGAACTGTGCAGGTCCAAACATTCCTGTCCACCGGTAGCTGTTTCAGATAGTCAACAAAAACATTACATATCACTCAAAGAAAGAGGTTGGGATGGGATGAAGCAGGTATAACTGTCCAGTCAAGAAAAGTTTCTGTTTTCTGAGCTAACTGCACAACATGCTGTTTTCACTGTTGGTGGTGACCAACAGTGAACCTTTTGTACATCATGAAGGCCAGTCATCCACACACTGGCTTCAAAAAGCTTTTTCTTCCCGTGTTGGGATCTGTCTTTGGGTGACATGAATGAATGAAACGCAAACACTTAAGTCCAGACCTCTTCCTTCCATAAGCATCAGAACACTACACTATAACACAACTAAACCAGACCGAACAAAAAAGGCACACAGTTGAGGGCAGTTTCTTTTCTTGAGTTATACTACCAAAAGTCCACTATCTGCAGTCCTATGGCCGGACGTAAGCAGGCTGAACAAAATGGATGTCATTTCAACTAAACACTTACAATGACCACTAAAATATTACCTTGAAGGCAATATTTGGATCACAACATACAGTATTTGTACAAATTGAACTCTCCCATTAGTGTACAATATCAAAATCATAATACCTTTAGTAACATATCATCATTCCGTAAATGATGCAAGTTGGGCAGTCTTTGAGCTAGCAACAGCTTCTTCCATGCATATAACTTACAGTAAGCATCCAAAATGTCTCACACACAAAATGACCTTCAGGTCTCCTTGGCCCTCACCCAAATACAAAGAAATACACAGAGCAAACCAGAAAAAAAGGAAACATTTCAGTGTATCTTACATCAAAGTGAGACAAATTTCCACAGGCACTGCAGATTATAACGCAGTAGGCCATTTCAAAAAAGACAATCGAAGGCCACAGCTACAAACGGTTCTTATGCTACGATTATTTACAAACAGTACAAGAGCTTGACAGTAGTTCACAAGAGAATGACTCTGAAATGATGAGTTTTGCTGAGAAAATGTAGACACCTGTTGACATGGCGTTTGTCCACAAACATATTGGTGGTCATTTATGGTCAAATTTCCTCCATAAAATTATGTAGAAACGCCTAATCAAGGACCATGGATGAATAGCTAAAGTAAGTGACACCATAAACAGATACTACCATGAAGTCTGAACTTGAAAGGTCTGTGTCAAAATATCTTAAATAACTAAATATATATATAATATATACAGTCTATAAAGTTTTTAACGCACAGTTAATGAACGTCATCATCATACACTTGAAAACGAAAACGAGAGAGTAAAAAGTCTTTGGGGAGACAGTATAAAATTACAAACAGTAAAATTGAGCAATCAAAACATCCTTCAAACACCTTAAAATCAGTCGTTTGTGTTCCTGTGTGGTTTTGGCCAGATATGGTGAATACTGCTGAACACAAATGTGGGGAAAGTGATTGATTGATTGAGTCCTAATTAGAAAGTGATTGTGAAGGCTGTTTTTTCCAATGCTTCCAGTAGTCTAGGCTTGGCTTGTGGGTGGATTTGGTGGGGTGGCGAAGAGCTTCGGCTGGCCACGTCAGAGCTCAGCCCTCTGCATATGTCACTTCCTCAGGTCCATGTACTTTACTCCAGGGAAAAGCACACAGGGAAAGAGGAGAGGGAGAAAAAACACCAACAAATGTCAATACAGTGGGCAATGCAAGATTCAAGAAAGACAGACAGTAGGCTACTTCTGTTTAGCGTATAGCTTTCATATTCATAGTTACCTGGCCGCTGGGGCCATTCTTGTCACCGTTAACGCCCTTCAGAAGAACAGCCTCTTCGGTCTTGGTGTCAGTCTTCATCTCCACCACAATGCCATCTTTGTTAGGGTTCTCCTTGGTGCTGTGGATAGAGAGCACAAACTCAGTTTACTCTCAATATTCCTCTCCAGTGAGGACAGTATCACATTCTTGGAGGCAGAAATACTAATTTATAGATGAACATATGGAATACATTTAGATAACACTTTTTCAAGCGCTCAGAGTGCTTTACATTGTAATTTACCCTCATCCACTACCAATGTGTAGCACCCACCTTATAGAACCAGACACAAAACCTGGCCCTAGACCAGTTGTTGAAGTAGAATACTCACATCTCCTGCTTGCCAGAGCGGCCACAGGGGATCTTGCCCTTCTTGTGGAGGAAGTAGAGCACACTGCCCAGGATGGCCAGCAGGAGGATACAGATGATGATGACCACGATGATCACACCATTGCCCTCAGCTATACACACAGACAGACAGACAGAGAGAGGGGAGGGTAAGCTCAGGTTAATGCTTATACCTGATCATGGAGAATCATCCGGACATGATATGTGTAAATATATCCTGTTTACCTGTGCAGCCTCTACATGTGTAACCAGTGACCCATAACCCCATGTGAGAATGCCCCTAGCGTACAAAACAAGTGAAAACATCCCTAGACAGACAACATAAGGCCAAAATGACTCAAATTTGTCTACATCAGCAGTTGTCAAAGCAGTTGTGACAAAGTGGTTACAGTAAATAACCCGGCCAAGACCCCAAAGAGCTAGCAGAAGCGAAATCAGAAGCATAGTGGCCAGAAAAGAAAACCTAGAAGGAAAAAACCCAGAGACGAACCCAGCTCAGATGGGAGGCCCATCCTCTTCTAGTAGGACAAAACATAGAAAGATATGGAAGATAGTAGCCACTAGCCAGGACAGCCACTCAGTAACATTTCCCACTTTTGTCCAGGGAGTCCTGGGATCCAGGTTGTAGAACAGTTTTAGAGTATGGTGCTATTGGTCATGATTTATGGGCCAAGTCATAAGAAGCAGATGGGAAACAGATCAAGGGCTCTATTCAATCCACATCGCGGAAGTTCAGCTTTACAGCGTGATTGAAATTTAACCCTTGTGCTTTGCTGGAAAAAAATGACATCCATTATGTTACGGGTCAAATTGACCCGCACAGTTTAAACACACTCAAGACAGTCAAAGAATTAAGTAAAAACAGAAACAACTTTATTTTGTCTTATCAGACATTTCAGAAAGAAGAAATACAAAACTTTTTATTTTTTTTAAACAATATTTAAGAACTATTTGTTAAACATATTTCCTTTCTCACAAACAAGATTTTTCAGTTTCCCCAAGTAGGTTTTTTCCCCCCCTATTGGTCCATATTATCCCTTCAGTCTTTCTCTCTACATGTTGAACACAATGTGTGTGTGTGCTTTCTGCAGATGTATTTATTGCATTCTACACAAGTGGTGCTTGTTTTACTGTCTTGTCGAGGGGGGCAGAGCTGGCATCTTTTCCGTTTCTTGCCACTGCCTGTATCCACTGGATCCATTTCTGGTTGATTGGAGGCATGTGTTGATGGTCCAGCTTGAATTTTCTGGACGGCAGATGCAGCTGCTGTCGACCGAGGAGGCCGGACTCTCCTCTGGATCTTGGGAGTGATGAGAGCTTTGCCGAGCTCCTCTAGGAAAAGCCGGCGTCGGTACAATTTGCCACCATTCCATTGCTGGTTGATTTCAGTCCACAGGACATAGGCATTGTAAGCAGACACATCCACAATGTTGTAGAAAATCACCAAAGGCCAGCGGGCAGTCATGCGCTGACAACTATATGTTGCTGTGACTTTATCCAAATTGTCAACTCCTCCTTTGGTGGAATTGTAGTCCAGTATTATTTGTGGCTTGATGTCCTCTCTTGCACTCAGCGATGCATCTTTGTGCATTGTGCTCATTACAAGAACATTCTTGTTCTTCTTTGGGCAGTATGAAACAACAGTTGCATTTTCAGAGAAAGCAAATTTAGAGGAATGCACAGTTCTGCCCTGCATTTTCAGAAGCTCACTGGGAAGTTCAGGTTTGTTTTTTCTGATTGTTCCAACCATGGTCAGCTTTCTCTTCTGTAGTTCAACACCAAGGCGGTAGGATGTGAAGAAGTTGTCACACATGATGTTATGACCTTGCAGCCCTTCACTCATGTCCAGCACCACCCGCATCCCCTGGTTTTTCTCAGGCACTCCGCCGGGTGGCTTCCCAGTGTAAACTTGCATATTCCATGCATAGCTTGATGTGGCATCACATGCTGCCCATATTTTGATGCCACATTTTGCAGGCTTGTTTGGCATATACTGTCTGAAGGGACAACGTCCTCTGAATGGAACAAGGCGTTCATCAACTGTAACATGAGGACTGGGATTGTACAGTAACGGTAGAATTTCCACCCATTTATCCCATACATCTCTGATTGCAGCTAGTTTGTCTCTTTCACGTCGACCCGGTCTGGTATCACGGTTATCAAAGCGAATCACCCGAGAAATTATGTGGAATTCTTGTAGAGACATTGTTGCCCGAAATATTGGCCTTCCATTCTCTTCATTCCACAGGCTGGCCGTTGCTTCTCCGTTTGACCGGTAGACTCCAGCTAATATGAGCAATCCAATGTATGCATGCAAGTCAATCCGATCCAGTGGCTTCCAGTTCTCTTGAAACACACGGCTCCCCTCCAAGTTGGTCATGTCCAGAACAATCTTCTCTATTGCTTGGGGTAAAAAGAGCTCAAAAGCTGATTGTATGTCATGGACTCGAGTGACAGCAAATCGTGTAGGTCCTGGAACCATTTTTATTACATTGGAAGCTGAGAGTCTACCTTGACCTCGTTGTGGTGACGGTGACCATTCAATATGACCATCTTTAGACTTCCATGTCTTCTCTTCTCTTGATGATGCTTGTTGCATGCTCTGTCTCTCATCTGATGTAGGGGATGGTACGGCAGACTCCTCCTCTGAATCCTCTTCAATGAAGACAAAATCTGGATCATCAACAGCATTGTCCTCTATCTCTGAAATATCCTCTGTCTCTGAAACCTCTTCTTCTTTTTCACTGTCACAGTCCAGAATTTGTGATAAGACTTCATTGATTGAAAATCTTTTGGAGCTCATTTTTGAGTGTCTGTGTCAGGGACCTGCTGCTCTCACACTGAGGAGAAGCTTGGGAAAGCCCTTTTTAACCCAAACACAATTCTAAAAGTGCAACCAGGACCAGTCAAAACAAAATAAATCAAAGACACTTTTTTGTTTTGCACCTGTGCAAATATATATACACATGAAAGCCTCCGGGTCAAAATGACCCACAACATCATGTTTGTATACAAAATGTACACAGACATTCCACAACACATCAGTGTGTCCACATTTTGCAGTTAGGTTCATGACCCTAAATGAGGAAAAGTCATGTAATTTCATGGCGAAAAAGAGTGGTTAACTAGTATTTTAGACAACGCAAATGTGGAAACGGGTCAAATTGACCCACAACATAATAGGAGGGTTAAAGGCAATGTTCCCGCTTTAGCGGAGACTGCATTCACGGTAAACGCTGCATATGTCAGCTCCATCGGAAATTACCTTTACATTTACACTACCGTTCAAAAGTTTGGGGTCACTTAGAAATGTCCTTGTTTTCAAAAGAAAAGCACATTTTTTGTCCATTAAAATAACATCAAATTGATCAGAAATACAATGTAGAAATGTTTTATGTTGTAAATGGCTATTGTCGCTGGAAATGTCAGATTTTTTATGGAATATCTACATAGGCGTACAGAGGCCCATTATCAGAAACCATCAGTCCTGTGTTCCAATGGCACGTTGTGTTTGCTAATCCAAGTTTATCGTTTTAAAAAGCTAATTGATCATTAGAAAACACTTTTGCAAGTATGTTAGCACAGCTGAAAACTGTTGTGCTGATTAAAGAAGCAATAAAACTGGCCTTCTTGAGACTAGTTGAGTATCTGGAGCATCAGCAATTGTGGGTTCGATTACCAGCTTAAAATGGCCAGAAACAAAGAACTTTCTTCTGAATCTATTCAGTCTATTCTTGTTCTGAGAAATGAAGGCTATTCCATGCGAGAAATTGCCAAGAAACTGAAGATCTCGTACAACGCTGTATACTACTCCCTTCACAGAACAGCGCAAACTGGCTCTAACCAGAATAGAAAGAGGAGTGGGAGGCCCCGGTGCACAACTGAGCAAGAGGACAAATACATTAGAGTGTCTAGTTTGAGAAACAGGCGCCTCACATGTCCTCAACTGGCAGCTTCATTAAATAGTACCCGCAAAACACCAGTCTCAACGTCAACAGTGAAGAGGCGACTCCGGGATGCTGACCTTCTAGGCAGAGTTGCAAAGAAAAAGCCATATCTCAGACTGCCCATCTTAATCTTTTATTTTTATTGGCCAGTCTGAGATCTGGCTTTTTCTTTGCAACTCTGCCTAGAAGGTCAGCATCCCGGAGTCGCCTCTTCACTGTTGACGTTGAGACTGGTGTTTTGCGGGTACTATTTAATGAAGCTGCCAGTTGAGGACCTGTGAGGCGTCTGTTTCTCAAACTAGACACTCTAATGTATTTGTCCTCTTGCTCAACTAGTCTCAAGAAGGCCAGTTTTATTGCTTCTTTAATCAGCACAACAGTTTTAAGCTGTGCTAACATAATTGCAAAAGGGTTTTCTAATGATCAATTAGCCTTTTAAAATGATAAACTTGGATTAGCAAACACAACGTGCCATTGGAACACAGGACTGATGGTTGCTGATAATGGGCCTCTGTACGCCTACAGTGAGGGGAAAAAGTATTTGATCCCCTGCTGATTTTGTATGTTTGCCCACTGACAAAGACATGATCAGTCTATAATTTTAATGGTAGGTTTATTTGAACAGTGAGAGACAGAATTACAACAACAAAATCCAGAAAAACGCATGTCAAAAATGTTATAAATTTATTTGCATTTTAATGAGGGAAAAAAGTATTTGACCCCTCTGCAAAACATGACTTAGTACTTGGTGGCAAAACCCTTGTTGGCAATCACAGAGGTCAGACGTTTCTTGTAGTTGGCCACCAGGTTTGCACACATCTCAGGAGGGATTTTGTCCCACTCCTCTTTGCAGATCTTCTCCAAGTCATTAAGGTTTCGTGCCTGACGTTTGGCAACTCAAACCTTCAGCTCCCTCCACAGATTTTCTATGGGATTAAGGTCTGGAGACTGGCTAGGCCACTCCAGGACCTTAATGTGCTTCTTCTTGAGACACTCCTTTGTTGCCTTGGCTGTGTGTTTTGGGTCATTGTCATGCTGGAATACCCATCCATAACCCATTTTCAATGCCCTGGCTGAGGGAAGGAGGTTCTCACCCAAGATTTGACGGTACATGGTGCCGTCCATCGTCCCTTTGATGTGGTGAAGTTGTCCTGTCCCCTTAGCAGAAAAATACCCCCAAAGCATTATGTTTCCACCTCCTTGTTTGATGGTGGGGATGGTGTTCTTGGGGTCATAGGTAGCATTCCTCCTCCTCCAAACACGGCGAGTTGAGTTGATGCCAAAGAGCTCCATTTTGGTCTCATCTGACCACAACACTTTC